TTTTTTTTTTTTTGGGTATATAAAAGAAAGAGATGGGGAGAAAATGGACCATATGGGTTGTACATCAGCAAAAGGAATCATTATCTTTAAACCAAGAAATTAAAGACGCCTTTAATTACATTCCTTTTCTAGATAATAAGTACAAAACAACTTTCAATTTTATTTTTTTCATATAGCAATAGCACTTCATTTTGGAAAACATATATAGTAGTGTAGTATTTATTTCAGATTACACTTAAAAATATATCTTTTCTACATTTTTGAAAATATCCTTCAGAGGATCATCATCATCATCATACGATTCCTTGAAATATCTATCTATACATTTTCCCTCCTCGTAACATTTTGGTCCTCCAAAACCCACAAAGATAACAACAGTCCGCAATATCTTCTTCTTTTCACTGATCATTTGGGTTTTTAAAAAGAAAGAGGAATGTGTCAGAAAAAGATTCTGTCTAAATAGAGTTAGCAATATAAATATAAAAAGCGATTATGATATGAAGAAAAAAAGGGGAAAGAGAGGCAAGAAAAATGCACAACGAAGAGGATCGACGACAGCTATATATGTACGTATATAGAAAAGCAAAACAACCGTTACATAATCTGTAGAGATTCTTCTTATTGTAAGAAAACTTTAGTCATTATATTTTTGATTTGAATGGATTATACAATAAGATCCTAAACTTTTTCCACAAGTTTAAAGAAAAAAAAAAACAACATCTTTACTCACCAAGATGTCAATACGTACATCTTTCTTTTTCTAGAACATACAACTCAAAATTTATATATTCACAACCATTGTTAACTTAACAACAACAAGAACAACAAAATGAAAACAAAAGAGCACCAAAGTGGCAGCAATCTATTGGTTTGAACTCATATATAAGCACATCTTGATGATGTTGTTTTGCTGCTCCCGTACACACAGAACGTGAATGTATGTATCATCACATAAGTATATTTTGTGGATTAGTCTATTAGGTATTATAAGTAGCATCACATATATACATAATCTCTAACCGGATTAGAGAAAGAAAAAAAGAAGTGAGGGAGAAATATTAATGAAGGTAAAATGAGGGTTGGTGGTGGAGAGGTAATGAAGAGATGAAATATAGACAGATCGGGGAATATGAACTAACGCTGTCTTCAACTCTCTATTTGGACTACATGACGATCCTTTGATTACGACTGGAGTCTTTTTTTTAGAAACCCTCCAAAACTAGCTCGATATATACTTAGAAAAATAATTTCATTTATTATTTTGTTAGGAGGATATACATAATTTTATATCACAAAAATTCAGTTATTTGTGTGAGTCATCATCATTATTAGTATGATGGAGTCATGGACGTACAATGATTTCAATCCAAAAATATATATTTGATGCTACCCTTTGTTTGTTCGTTATCATATAGTATTAAATTTAGTTTTGGGTTAACAAAATTTGCAAATGATATTTCATCTTTTTTTTTTTTTTTTTGGTTATTTCAAAAGGATGATGAATCGTTTATGGGATAGAACAAAAACTTTTTTTGTTTTCTGTTTTAGCTAAAACTAATGAGCTCCACACAATGGTATAAGGGAAGACAAAAATATTTGAGGAGATCCAAATAGCCAAATCATGCATAAGCCCATTGTTTGTTTCTTTTATATACACAATATGCAAATATATATGGGTCTCTCTTGTGGTTGTGGAGGTGGGAAACTATATATGGACCTCACTAAATTTACTAACTATTCTCTCATAATGGATACCAAAACCCATCCTATTGTAAAAGCTTCTCTGAAAGAAGAGTAAGAGAGGTTGGTAAAGAATTACATTACTCTAATAGTAATATGTAGTCTAATAGAGAGAGTTTGGCAAAAGAGTAAAGAAGTTTCTCACTTTGTTTTTCGAGAGATTCTTCGTTGACTTGTAGGTGAACTGGAATTGGTCAAACATTCAAACTTTGACAAATTTGGAGCATTCAGAATTTGAAGTAGACCAACCTCTCCATTACAAAAACATGTAAACCAGGTCAATGGTGCTGTTCTCCTGTTGTGTTTCTCTTAGGCAACTCCACATAATAATAAACAAAGAAGACTTATTGACTCTCTTTCTCTCTCACACACACAGCCAAATATATAAAGAAACGTTTCTTGCAAGATTCTGAGTTAAGGGAGAGACAATATATAGTAACTTATGCAGGTTGTGGGAAGGAGGATCCCATCAGGAGAAGGCGTTGAGATGTCTGGAAGATCCGAGACAAACAGGCTCAGGAGGAGGAGTCATGGCTCAGCTCTGAAGGTTCGAGTAGCTTGCACGTGCTCCGGACGGCCTGGTTCCACCAAGTGTGCACGACACGGGTTCATGGTGCCAACCGATGAGAGGCTTATGAGGAAGGCCAGTGACGGAAGCAGAGAGGTCTTACGGAGAGCTTTGACGCCTCCGATCCGGCGCATGAATCTCCGGTGGTTGAACTTCCGACCAACACCAAGCCGGCTCTGTAATATGTCTTCTGTTTGATCATAAAATTGAGATTCAAAACTTAAGGCTGAGAACTTTTTTTTGTTTGAATGTAAATAAACTCAAACGCTTTTCTTTTTTTCTTTTCTCGTAATGTTCGAAATCGAATAAGATCCAGACACAATTGCAGAGATTTGGACTTAGCACTCTGTTACTGGACACGGAAGTGTTAGAACATTTTCTGATACAAAGAAGGAAAGAAGAATCAAGTGGATGAGTTGTTGTTTAGAGCAGGCAAAATGAGGCGATCTTGGCCTTCGATTAGTTTTGCAGATTTGATTACATCTCCTGTCTTGATCTGCCCAAGAATATCTCTTCCTGATGTTGTGTATCTGTAGAATTTGGAGCAAAGAAAGGCAAAAAAACATCAAATTCTAATGCCAACTTCTAAGTTCTGCTATTTCGAATAAGAAACGTTTAAAGCCAATACCCGAAGACTGAGAACTGCCCTTCATCAAAGGATAAACCTCCTAAGCCAGACTGCATATACAAACAAGATCAAAAGTAAGCTCCTTTGGCTTTAAAATGGGACTAAGCTAAGGAAGTCGTGGAGTGATGCATACGTTTCTTTTGTCGTATAGGTAGAAAAAGAATTGGTAAGGAGAAGAGTATTCATCTGAGTTTTCGCTGTGCGCCATTGCAACAGCTCCATAAACCGATAAAGGAAGAACTGGTAACTCCCCATCCTGCCAAAGTCAAAATGAAAAAAAAAAAATCAAAGTAAGCTTTTCTGGTTTTTATTTGGGGGTAGAAGCGGTTTCTTATACCTGAACACTCAATGGGGTTCTGTAGAGTGGCTCAAACTGTCCAGAAGGCATTACTTCCAATGGCACACTAACACTCTCCACCTTAGCACTCCCATCCTCTGTGATAACAGCTTGGTTCACTGTATTGAGTTTGACTCCATCATATGCACCGCTAGTTACCTGAACATTCCGAGAAGCAAACAGTTTGTGCCACACGATTTCAAGATTTCAGATTATAATTTCTTAGGTTCAAGATGTGTAGCTAGCAAAGATTAAAGTTAGAGTAAACTACCTTACCAGTTTTGCGAAATTCCCTGCTGTTAGGGGTGCTGAATATCCATCTATAACGATCTGAATCCATAATTTAAGTAAAGCAGCACCTCGTGAACAAACAGGTCGACAGATTGTGGAGTAAAATATAGGAACAACACTTTTTTACTTTGAAAACATTTAACTTTGATACCTGGATTGTAGCACTCTTTCTTTGATCACCCCCAGATTCAGCTGAAAATGTTGAACCATCACCTTTCTCAATTGTGATTTCCACAATTCCTCTACCTGCTAACCTATAGTTCCACATATGATTTGTTTCATTTGCAGCTAACAAGACGAGTTCAATATAGAGAAACAGAAAATGAGACTCACCTTGGATAGTTTAAGTACTGCTGAGGAAGTAAAAATGACAATCCTGATGCCTGCAACAACACTTTTTAACATCAGCAACTAAAAGTTGTGCTTATGCGTTTCAACCTACCTAAAAGAGATGGGGTGGGCCATAAAAAAATTGCATGTACCTGCAATAACTCCAGTTCTGCAACTGTGTCTAGTGATGCTGCCAGGCCAAGGGACACTTTATCAGGATCTTGTTTCTTAATATTTGTTATAAGTGACTGAAGTCCACCCTATCAAACAAAAGATTAAAAGGTTTATACCCGCTTATAGCAAAACAAATGAATTAAGAACATAAAACCGCCTATTGCAGTTAGCTGAAAACTAGGAGAACTTTTCATCAAACAAAACCAGATCATTTTTCACCAAATTCTATGAAACTGGTACAGGGATTACAGTTCATCAACTTGAGAACAGAGTTGCGCTTTAATTCCCTCGTACCTTGCCGTCAATCAGGGTTGCATACAGTTCTGAGCCCTTGTCTTTCAAGTCAGCTGGTATATTAGCCAATATCGCATCCTTATCGTCTATAGCCACCTGAAACAATTTCGTCAAAGAATTCAATCTTGTTCTTCTACTATTCTTGCAAACATAACACAAGTCAAGAACTAAGTCTATAACTTCAATGCCAACCAATCAAGAGCCTCTCAGAACGTTTGAAACTAAGCGCCTAAAAACAAGATCAATCAAGTGCTACTATTCAGAAGCTTTATAGAAAAATAACAAGAGTAACGAAGTTTACCTTCAGAGCTTTTTTGACATTGCTCTCCATGGTACCATAAGGCTTTCTTTGCGGAATCCTTAGAAGATATGATATATCTTCCAATGAAGCCTAAGCAACGAAAATATAGTATCACACAGTGAGTAATCACTAATTACTAAAACCAAATTGACCAAAACTAACCAATAAGAAAGTCAAAGACAGTGTGACAAGCCTGTATTGTCTTCATGCTTGGATTAGCAGGAATAGCTCTTCTGAGAGCAAGCTCCCCAGTTCTTGGAACTTTCGTGTCGGGAGAGTAAAGAACAGCCTCTGCAGGTGAAATGTAAGCAGAGTCTAGACCAAGCAAGGGCATTGGAGACCAAACTTGAACAAATATCAGCATCGTTGCAACCAATTTCTCGAGATTCTTAGTCCCAGCTTCAAAAGGGTTCAACTTTGATTCAATTGAAGATTTGTGAGAATGTATAAGTTCCTGCACTGCTGAAAACAACTTTTCAGTAGACGAATAAATACGAATTGATCACTAAAACCCCTAAAAATCGAATTTTGTGACTATAGATGAAGAAAAGTACAAAATAAGTAAACCCTAATGTGACATTCGAGAGAAAATTAAACCTGACCTTAGTGCCAATCTTACTGGATGTAGAATGCAAACGCATGCGGAAATCTCCGGAATTGGTTCGATTAAAGGGTAATTTGGGTTTTACGAAGAGTGATCTGCGATTGAGAGGTGAAGGGTGGAGAAATAAAATCCGGTGAGAGCCGATGGTGGAAGAAGACAAAGGAGAAGCCATTGATGTGAAGCTTCACAAAGTTACAGAGACAACTCAGACAAGGATAGAGAGGAGAAACGAACGATGAGCTTTTTTTTCTTCTTCGCGCGCCTCATCTTCGAGATGATTACGTGGACCTATATGAATGGATACACGTCGCTCTTGTAAAGTTTAAGAAAACAGCGTGGTGTTTTTCTTTGCAGAGTGCAGACGGCATTGCTTCTTGCAAAATAACTCAACGTTTTAAGAATTCGCTGTTGCACGCTTTGCCGTGTGTGGAATAAATTAGAAGTAAAAGAAGCTTTAAGGCTTGGCCCAAATATGGGTGGCCCAAGTAGATTAAAATAATAAAAGGGGACAGATATCACATTGACGTGAAGTGACAATGACAGGTCATTTTAATGCCCGACGAAAAAAAAATCTACATAGACGACATTCTTGAAAATAACTCAACAAGCTCCACTTTTTCTTATCTTCACACACAGTTTTAGAAGTTTGTTTTTGGCTACTTCTCTACACGACGTTAGTTTTTTACCAGCGTTTGAAAACGCAACAGTAAAAAAAGACGCATAACCATACACATCAGCGTTTTTGCCTCTTGATGAAAGCATCTGGTTCCGCTTCGCCTCCCCAGACGCCACGTACATTTTAGTTTTTTCTAGTGTAGTAGATTCGTAATTAATATTTCACAATTATGGTTTCGAACCTCCAGACTTGGACTACGTGCCGTTTTCTATATAACGAACCGACACACGACGCTGCCGTTTTGAACGCCACGTAATCATCTCCAATCGAGGCGGACTTCACGGGGTCCGGCGACGAGCTCACTGGGTTTCCTGAACGACACGATGTGGCTTCCGGCCATAAACGCCGTGACTCGCTCGGATACTCGGATATCTTCCATCTTCAGCTCCTGTAAACGCCGCACGTACTCCGGCACGTGTAAGAGATCCCAAACCACGCACAAACCTCCCGGCTTCACAACTCTAACTATCTCTCCGAGCACTCTCATCCTCTCCGCCGCCGCTTCCACCGATTTCTGACCGTGTTCTTTCCCCACCGTGTGTACGAACACCGAAGACACCACTACGTCGAAGTAATTGTCCCCAAATGGTAACGTCTTCACATCTCCTTCACGGCAAGTCACATACTCTTGCACACCTAGGCGAGTTTTGAATTCATCAGAATAAGAATCTCAAATTCTAATTGCAAATTGGGGGAAACTGATTTGAGAAATGTTGGTATACCTTCGAGTTTAGCGGTGCGGAGAGTTGAGAGAGTAGTGCGTTTAGAGCGGTCTAACCCGACGACCCGACCGGAGCTACCGGTTTTCTTAAGCTGCGTAGCGACGGCATTGAGGAGGATACCACGGCCACATCCGAGATCGAGAGCAGTTTTGACACAAGACCAGTCACCGACGGAGCTAACCATGCGTTGAGCCATCTCGTACTGTAACGGAACATCGGAGTATACGAAGTTAGCGGCGGCGAAGAGGAGACAGACGGCGGAGAGAGCAGTGACAGCGCCAGTGAAACCAGCGGCTAACCTGGCGGCGCCGGAGAGGAAAAAAGAATCGAGGAAGAAGCAAATCTGGTCGAAGTAGATAAGGAAGAGAAGAGAGAGAAGGGAGAAGAAGAAAGCATGGAAGAGGAGGAAGACGAGTGTCTGCCATTGTTCGATTCCGTAAATAGCGTAGATCTGAGTCCAATCTCTGTTTCCGGCGGTTTTACCCATTTTGAATTCCGATCAAATCTGAAGCAAGTAAAATAAAATAATTAGATCTATGAATGAGTTCATCACATTTGAAAGTTCGAATTCCAAACTAAAGAGGACTAACAAATAAAGTAGTGAAGCAAAGTACCAGATGATCAAGAGACGGTGGAAAACAAAAACAGATCTCAGGAGGTTTGAAGAAAGTTAGCAAAATTCAAAGTAGAACAAGGAAGATGAAGTGATGAAGAAGAAGGAGATGTTGTGAGGTAAGGTAAGTGAAAGAGCATGGTCCGTTACAGGAACATGATTGTGAGAGAGTGAACTTATGAAGAAGAAGAAGAAAGAACAACTTAAAAAAGGGGAATTACGCAAAAAGGATTTTATTTCCTAAACTTTTTGGTCTTACCATTTTTTCACGCGCTTTCTTTTTCACTCTATGCTTGTCGGTTTCTGCATTTTCAAACCTCTGGTTTTTTTCAATTTTTTTTTTGAATTTTAAAAACAGTAAAGTCGCTAGATTTTTATTTATTTTAATTATTTGGATGGAGGTTGGTTGCTAACAGAAAAATCATTAGTGTTAACCTGTTTCTTTAAAATTAATTAACATTCTTTAAGTATTAAAAAACCTGTTTATGCATATAGGAATATATCCTTAACTATTTGTATAAAATTATGATTTTAAGATTAGTATTTCTACTCTCTTTGTTTTTTGGTTAAACTAATAGTACTAATATCTTTTTTGCTTTGTTTATTGTGAACCCTAATAAGTTAGTTTTCCCTTTTTTGGGAAAATTGGAAAAAGAGACATATTTTCAAAAGTTTGTCTATATATACCTTTTTTTTGAAATTGTCAATCTTGACTAAACTAACCCTACTAACATATAAATCAAATATTAAGGGTTTTTTAAAGTTGAAAATTATCAAATAATGTAAATAAGTCATTATACATTATATTTGAAGAAAATGCTTTTCAATTTTTTTGAAAAATAATTGTTTTTCACATAGATGATTTTTATTCTGAAAAGTTTAGAAAACGTTTTCTTATTTCTAAAAAAAAATAGAATATGTATTCTTATGTTCTGAAACATTTAGATTATCCATTCTACCATTTTGTACATGTTCTACGAATTTTAGAACAGAAAACATGTTCCAAAAGTTTCAGAATACGAATTTTTGGAATTCAGAATACAAATTCTAAAAAATTCTATGTTATGCAAAATTCAGAATATGTATCCTACAATTTACTACATGTTCTGAAAAGTGTAAAATATAAATCCTAAAATATTTTTGAATATGTATTCTAAAAAATATTTGGTTATATAAATATGGAAACAAAATCGGATAATTAGGAAAGTAAATAATTCAGTTAGAATCGAATATATGATTCAGATTCTCTACAGATTTTTTCAGAATACGTAATCTGAAAATTTTAGAAGTATTTTTTTTTAAAAAAAACGATTGTAACCCTAAATTATGTTCCTAAAACTATAGTCACGGCTTCTTCTTCTTTCTTTTATCCATTCTCTTAAAGTTGTTGAGTTTTTTCTTTTAATTATGCTGCAAATCTATGTTACTTGTGGTTTATGGAGATTAGATGCTATTAAGCAGTGGAGATTTATTTGTCTGTCATTCTTCATAAGATCGACGTACCACCGTTTGTTATCAGTTAATGACTAACCAGTGACCAATTTTCAAACCAAATGTTTGTAACTTTTACTTTGTCGAAAGAGGATGATTAACCAGTGACCAACTTCAGAAGTTTACAAACAATATGATATTCTATAAAAATTGGCAGTCACTAATTCAAGCTTTTGTGTTGTTTTTAGTTTTTATGACATGTACAGTAACATGGTAGAAATGAATGCCAGTTGTGTCCGTATAAAATGTGACACTATCAAGAACAAGAAAACTAATGGAATCTACATAAAAGAATGATTTCAATATTTTCTTCCTTGTGAATCTGTCGCCATGCGTATGCTCTTGTCTTCCTTCCTTACCGGACAAGTTAAGCCAGGGGGGGCCAATATTTGCTTGTTTTAACTTTTAAGTCTCGGTGGTCATGAAGTTGAGATGGAGAGAGTTGAAGTTCCTCCAAAACCCAAAAGGTCTCTTTCAGTAGACAAGGAGATTTGTTAAATGGAAGTGATAAGACCAGTTTGGTTTGTGCATAGACATGAGCAGTTTGGTTCGGTTAAGTTTCTTAAGACGAGGCGTCTGTCGCGGTTACTCATTAGCTTGATGAGCGGTAACTTCTGCGAGACTTGGCGCCAGATTTCCTTCACTGCTCCATTTGGGTTATCATAATCAAAATACCGTTTTACCTGTGTACATTGCAAATCATTCGGGTATGAGGAACATCTCAAGTTATGTAAGAGAATCAAATATTTAAAGAGGTCAGAGGTTGAAAAGAAGGAGACATACCGATCTCATCTCTCTCTGATACTCCAGGATCTTCTTGGTTTTTATTTTCCTCAGCATCTTAACCAGGAATCCGGGCTGCAGAGCTGCATTTGCCTCAACAAAAATCGAAAACTTTCTATAATCTATAACATCTTCGAAAGGTAACTCGATGCTATCGCTAACAATCACGGGCACACACAAACTGACTATGGAGTCAAAGAGTCTGCAGGCGGATGGAGTGTCACCAGCAGGATTCAGATAGAACTTATGAGCTGGCGAGGGAGATCGGATGAGGAAGGGAGGGAACGACTCACGGAGGCGTTGAGAATTACATAGATAGCGATGACGGAGACGACGCTATTGTGTTCTCATGGCTAAAATGTATTCTGAATTCCATGAGACCTTCAGCAACCTCAATCATTTGAACCACCCATTGTATGTTCAAAGCCTTGGTGGAACCACCAGAACTCTGAACATGCCCATCAGAAGAAGTCAACTGCTTTGAGCTCCTAGAAGACACTGAAGACATAAGACCATACATTATAACATTTTTCATATACATATAAGGATTCTGATATAAAAATCCAAACTTTATTAAGAAAACAAATCTAAAAATGCTATCTTTTTCAATTTACAGTTAAGGATTTAGCCATTAGCTTTGGGACAAGAGAACTCACAGTCACACCTTTATGCATTGTTCTAAGCACTGAAGTGATCTGTTCCACTTGATCCTCACTAGAACAAGCCGAAAGAAGAACCTTAGCTGTCCCCCCATCTGGTGCACAACCCGAATCAATCATCTCCTCAAAGATCTCCAGACATTTCACGTACAGTTTCTTCCTCGAGTAAGCTCCGATCCTCGAGGTCCATGTCACAACGTCTGGTCTAAAATTCCTCTCCTTGAGCTCGCTAAAAAGCTCTTCAATTCTCTCCAAGAACCCGGCTTTACCATAGACATTGATCAAGATGTTGTATGTGCTTATATCTGCAGTGCAAGGACCATTCTCCATCTCGGCTAGAATCTTTTCCATCTTGGTGAACTGTCCCAACCGGCCGTATAAGTTGAGCATGCTGTTTAGGACAAATGTGTCTGGTTCTACTCCATTCTCACTCATTTCTTTCACAATGGCTTCACATTTGGTTACGTCTCTTGCTCTAGAGTAAGCTGATAGAAGCAACATGTGGGTTTGTGGAGGAACTGCCGTGAACCGCCGTGAACGGAGCTCCCTCCAAGCGGAACAGCCGTGAACCGCCGTGAACGAAGCTGCGAATTTCCAATACCGCCGTGAACGGAGCTCCCTCCAAGCGGAACTGCCGTGAACCGCCGTGAACGAAGCTGCGAATTTCAATACCGCCGTGAACGGAGCTCCCTCCGGTACACTGAAACTGATCGGACCTATAAAAACAACCCAGAGATCTCATCAGTCACACGCAAATCAAATGAGGATTATCTATAACAAACCTTAAATGCGCATACACTTTGAAAGGAAGTTTAGGAATCGAAGTGAGAGTGACTTTGAAGGAGAAGAAACCAACAAGACTCTTTGTTTTTCGTCGGAGAAGAAGAGGCGGAGGCTTAAAGGGTTTGTTTTTTTCTTTCTGATTTTTCTTTTTATGTATTATATTAATTATTGTATTTTTTTCAATAATCAATTAGTTTTTATTTCTTTAAAATAAAAACAAAACATAAAATAGTTTTAATTTAAAATTAATTATAATTGAGGGTATAAATGGATTTTAATCAATTAAAAATCTTAGTTCACCAAACTTTTTTTAAAAAGGTATATATGGACAAAGTTATAAAAAAATGTCTCTTATTTCCAATTTTCCCTTTTTTTTTTTTTTTGACAACCCCTAATTAGTTAGTTTTGAAAAGAAAAAAATAAGATGCATTATGCAGTATAGGTTTGAATATGGAAAGTTAAACAAATGTGACATTAAGTCGTTGATATAAAGTATAAACCACTATTTCATGTTGTTTAAGAATTCAAACATTCAAAAAATAAAATATTATAATCTAGGTTCGATTAATATTATTAACCTATATAAATAAATATTTCATAATGCATTTACGCAATTTTTTTAATATCTATACTAAATCTATCTTTTCTACGTAGCTTAATTTACACAATTTGGTAATACCATAAAATAAAGTACAAAGACCGTAAACAAAGTTACATTTTTGTATATTATTATCACATCACTAAACTTGACTTGTGAGTATATATTTTCTTTTATATATACTCCATTAGATCCTATCTTCGAACAACGAGAGATGATAACATTTGAATTTCTTGAACACAAGTAGAGAGAGAGACCCATGTGTAAAAAAAGTCTCTTCTCTTCAAAGAAGAAAAGCGCGTTACAGGGGTTGAGAGGAAATCATTTTGGCGACAAGCTTTAAGAATGCATCTTCAAGATAATGTTGTTTTATTATAGACAATAGAAATATCTCAGTACCCTTATTAAAGTGTATGTAAAATACTGCATGTCACAGATATTAAAAAAAATATTGTGATAGCCAGTGGAGCTAGCCAATAGAGACGACGTGAGATTTGGAATCCTCAAATAGATATGTCTGTGTGTTATCATGCATGCACTAGTACTGTGTTCTCAGATTCGACATGGCCTGCAATTCTCCATAGTCCAGAGATAAACAAAACAATACAATATACAACATATACAAGAGAAGAAGACAAATATGACTTATCTTCTTCTTTTTTTTCATTTTGGTTTTGTATACATGTTAAGATTATATTTTAATATTTTTTACGGAAAATGTAGAACATGTGTAATCGAAATATGGTAAATAGGAAGGCTCATAGATTGGCAAAGTTTTTTTTTAGGAAAATCGAAATAAAAGGGAATAATACGAGTAAAAAACTAATAATAATATGTTGACAAAACAAAAACTAATAATAATAACACAATATAACATGCATTGCGTAAGATTCTTAGTAAATCAATTGGTAAGTTCAATCATCAAATTACAACCGTACATCTTACAGTCTCACAATTTATCATAACGACACGTTTGCATAATAGATTCTCCGCTAATCGTGGTATTCGTTGTTACCTGAAAAGACCCATTGCTAATTAGTAATTACCATCAGGCATCAGACAACAATTATATTCTATTTTCTTTTTTCAAAATTATACCTCTCTTTTAGAAACACAAATCCCATAATTTTCTCATAAAACGCAGAAATTACGGATAGAACTCAGTTTCGAACTTGATCATCAGCGAAACCCCTATAGTATTAGTAGTAGGTTTTGTATTATATATAGATTTCTTTTTTTATATTGATGTTAATAATACGTACTAACAACACGCTGTCTCAAAAGCAAAACAAATTAAAGATATATAATCATTAGCGAATATTTTAGATCGTACTCATAGTTCGATAAAATATTTAAAAACAAACTTCCCACTGAATATTCAGACTCTTTATTTGTTATAAAGAGATAATATTATACAAAAGAACCTATAAATATGGTATTTTTGGGGTCCCCATATAGTTTGACGAATTGTAAGCAAAACGTAAAAATGAGTATGGGAAACAGAAGGAGATGCATTAACCCCACCAAACTTTATTAAATGTTCTTTTTTTGAAACAACACAATAGTCTCAAAAGCTTATTACTACGTTCCTACTTGCTAACACCATTTCTCATCTTTTTCACATAACACAAAACACAATACTACATAAAACAAATTAAAAGTCTTGCACATTTCCAAAAACATGCAGGAAAAATCCAACATATATATTACTAATATTGAACTATTTATTTTGAAATTCGAGTAGATAACTGTTGGAATTTTCAACGACGGAAAAAACGATAGTTTGAAACTATTGAACGTAACTATTGATTGATTGGTAGTCTCTTCTTGGTCTCTAATGCTCAAACGATCAAAGCTATAATTGATAGATGTGTATATATTGTTTCGTTTTGATTTCAGTTGCTTTCACAAATCCATTTGCGTTATGCATATCTAAGAGATTAATCAAAGGATCAAATATCGAATACGATCAAATAAAAAAGCAGAAGAAAAAAAGTGCATGAAGGTTGTCCAATAAAATGGTGGACTGTGGTAAGGACCTTCTTTTTTGTACGTACTGTAATTATCACAAACGGACCAGTGACCACTATGGAAACCTTAGCTAATACTAAAATATAAACTATCAGAATTTATCGTCAGCATTACGTAATGTTATAATAGTGTATTACAAAAGAATTATAAAAGAATACGTAAAGTCCCATTACATGCGCGTCCCCTTGTATTGGGCTTTTTGATTTTAGCCAAAAGAAAAAAAGATTGCCAGAAGAGCTAGTAATCAAAGTTGTATCTATAAATATAAAATATTCTATTGAGTACGTGAGAACTTATAATTAATTAACCGATCGTTTGAATGAAAGTGTCGGTGTTAAGTGTGTTCACATATGCAGGGATGCCTGCCTCATGCCTCATATCCAAAACAGAAACTAAAGAAAAATATTTCTTGATTTTGGTAACTCACATGACCCAGCTAAGCTAGTAGGTTATATAGTTTATATTTTGAATCCTATCAAAATGTCAACAACGTTTTATCACTCTATTATGTAACTTATGTTATCGCATATATAAGAGATTATGTAAATAGTTTAAATTGTAAGAGTGCAAAATGCAAATACAGCTAGAGTGATTTATATAAAACGGACATATATATATATATAAGAATTATAAATGATCGACCAAAAAAACTCAAAAAGCAGCCGTAGAGAGTTAGAGTCTTAAAAAGTCTTCAAGAGAATAGTTTATAAACTAAAACAAACTGATTAGTTGGTAAGACACAGAACGACCTAACCCCGTCGTTGACTAGTAGTAACCTGTAACCCTCATCCTTAATCTCTCTCAACATTGTTTACTTATCTAACATTCCCTTTTTTTAATTTAATTTAGTATTATACTGCTACCTAACACTCTCTTGTCTTAACGTCAAACTTAGCCATTAGTCAAAATATACAAGTGACCATATTGTGTTTTTTGACCAATCGTCGAGATAATAGAAGCACATGTATGATATACTATGATAGTGTTACGATGCATAGATACTTTTCTTGTATGGAGTGGAGTTCCATAGAAGTTCAATCAAAAGACTTCAGCTCTGAAGTTTTTTACAGCTTAGAGCAGGAGAGAGGGGACAAAGAAGTTTTATTTATTACTCTCAATTAGTTTGGCTCTATAAAAATGTAAAAATCTTTCATGTTTATCATATTCCTTAGATGAAATGGACTATAAAACTAAAAACTAAAAACTAGAGCCGTCGCAAGGAAAAAGAAAATCAAATAAGGAAAAATGGACAAATATTGAAAAATTCAGACTTTGGGTTTATTGTAAGATAGCCCAATAACATAGTCCTTGCATGTTTAATATGTTTTAGGCCCATATCTATTTATGTGCTTTAAATGTTAAGATTTAAGAGCATCAGCATTGGTGTATCTACAACAGTCCTACACCCAAAACAGAAAAGAAAAAATGAAAAAAAAAAAAAAATTTGAAGGACGTACGCAATTGTGCGACGGTCCCGTTTGTTGTTGCTTCTTTTTCGCGGGTCCCACTGACACGTGGCGGCCCGCGATTAAGTTTTTAATTTTTTTTTTTAAAAAAAAAAATCGTAAAAAAAAAAAAAAAAATTGGGACAAACATTTGTCCCACCAATGTGCATGGTCTAAGAAGATGCATGGAATGTGAAAATTTGACAAATCAAAGTGTGGGAGAATGGGATTTTTAGCATGACCCATATTTCCGATAAGGAACAATGACAAAACTCAACCTCCAACTAATAATTTTACACGTATTAGGAACCATATGCATTACATGAATCATCAATGACGTATTTCTCGCCTTTAAACATATATCCAACATAACTCCTGTAAAAGAAAAATTATATATATATATATACACCATTTACTAGGTTATATAAATAAATGATTAATCATACATATAAAGGAACCCAAAAATCGTTAAATTTGATGTCGACAAAAAAAAAAAAAAAATCGTTAAATTTGTTTTTTTTGTTTTTTTATCAATGTTAAATTTGATTTAGAACGTCAAAACTATACATTAAATACTGAAAACTTAACAAATAGTATCATTTATCTTTGAGGGTATAGGAATTAATATATAAATGAGCGACCCTATCAAAATTGAGAAATAACATAAACAAAAATGAAATGAAGAATTCAGTTAGAAGTTGGGGATTGTAAGTTTGTGTTATCACTATCTCTATAAATATATATATATGTCCCAAATCATATTCTTATTTACTACATTCTACGCCGAACACGTGTGCATCACCATTGCAATTATCTTGATTCTTGGCATATCTCTAACCAAACTGTACGTTTCTTCAAGAAACACTACATTTTTTAAGACCAACATCGATCACAATCCTCCTGCGTAACTATAAGATAGATTGTTCTTTCAACATCTTTTTTTTTCTTCTGATTTTGTAACAAGGAAGTACTGGAGTAATAAGGATCAACGAGAATGGTGTGTTTCTGTTTCTTGGTTGACCAGAGGAGGAAGATAAAAGGAAGTAAACCGGCGGCGGGAATGTGTTCCCGGTGCGGCCGTGGAGCAAAAGTAGCCGACATGAAGACTTCGACGAGGTTCTGTCTGATACCTGTTTATTGTCGATCTCGGAGAGCCATCGTCTGCACCTTTTGCGGCTCTGTTCTTAAATCCTACCGTTGAGATTTTTTTTTTTACATGGTTTTTTATACCTCCTTTCTAAATATCTTAGTGTTCTGATTTTGAAACCCTCTTTGTAAAGTTCCCAAACTTTTGTATAATATTAACCAGTAAACAAAACAAAACAAAACAAAACAAAAGTTTTCTGAGTTTAATAGTAGGCTCTGCTCTAATGTTTTTTTTTAAAACATACGCAATAGCGTAGTCTATTGTATCTTCTAATTTTTATCGATCATGAAAGTTTTTAGAACCGTGAGATTTATGCTCAACTATATAAAGTATGAATTTGGATTGCTTTTACCATCTCTAGTAGGAGACCTTGAGCTAATACACGAAACCGAAGTCTCATGTTTCGATAATAAAGTATGAGTTTGGATTTCCTTATACTCTCTCAAATCTCTTTATATAATCAACAACCCTTTGTTGGTAAGACTAACACCAAGCATTGATAATACAATAATACATATATGTATATCGCAAACAGCACTCATTTATTCCCATATGTACCGATCGATCACACTAATATAATCTAGTCTTGAATGCCTTTTCTGTTTTCTTGAAAATTTTATTTATATCTAACTGTTTGAACCATAAAAGCATATAATAAACATTTGAAACTTTCGTTTTCTATAATTTTTTATAAACGTTTAAAATCGAAGTGATTTTTTAGATCCTTAAGAAATTGGGGAAAAGAGAAATAAACCCCGACAATTTTTTTTATAGAATCGGTTGCAATTTTTTTTTTTTTTTTTGTTCTTTACTCCCTCTCTTCCCGGCCTAGTCCGTCGAAGCTTTGTACTACTCTAGTCTTTATCACGAATAATGTGCAATCACTATTACGCTAACCATTTTTTTTTCTTGGATTAGCATGCTAGCCTAAACACATTTCTTATTATATGTTTTTTCTTACATTAAACTATCACTTTATAGGTAATCTATGCGCAAAAGGAGAAATGTTGCATGGGACAACCACAATGGCACGATAATATTTTACATATGTAAAAATATAATTTTTTAAACCCTTGCGTTACGGTTAAGGAAATTAGCATGAGAGTTTGTAAGCGAAAACTCTGAAAAAAACTTGCAAGTGAGCTAGGGAACAGTCGCAATCAGTCTAAAAAGAGCAGCAACTAAACTTATTAATTATTTATCTACTTTCAGCAATATATAAGATTTTCAAAATCGTTTAATCTCTTGGCTAATTCTGATTTTCACAGTGTATAATTCAAATGTGAAATTTTATCTTAGAATTAGAGTAGCCAATCCTTTATTAACATCATATCACATCAGCCTTTGTGCATGCATGTCTCTTAAAACCATCCTCAATTCATGAATCTTAGGGAGTATCTTATCATAAGATTTGCAAAGAGAATAACTTATATAAAATCCTCTCTTTACAAATCTTAGGATAAGATACCCCTAAGATGTTTGCATTGAGGATGATCTAACGCGTTATTACTGGAAGTGAGGTTGGACCCAAATATAATGGACAAAAAATTCTACACATCTTTTTCAACGGAGGGCACTATGGGCCGTAAAACGTGGGGACAAAGGTAAGTCTTTCATATCATGACAAAAAATATATGAATAGTAAGTCTTTGTATCGTGTCTTGAGGTGCAAGTGTAAGGACCAAATCAGTTTTGACGTGGTCAATATATATCATCAATAATTAATGTTGTAACATATATATATGAAGATGTCTCTTATCATCATTTCTCAACTCATACATACATATCTTCAACAAAATAAGAATAATGGAAGCTAGACTCTTGTATTTTATATTGATGACCGTGTTTCTATTGCTCAGTGTTTCCAAAATCTGGTGGGAAACTGCTCATAAACCGCAAGGTAAGTATTAAAAATTGTATTAGCTCAACGTCTAATTAAACTATCATATTCAGCTATTTTAACCACTAAATTAAATAAATTACTTGTTTAGTTGTAGTTCTCACGACAAAAGAGTGGCTCGATCTACTCTTCGAAACAAAAAAAGCGTTCCTTCGCATCGGATTTGACGAAGATCAAGAGTATTTTAGATCTTACTTTGTGCTATAGACTCTGCTATATTACACTACTACACCATGTAAGTTCACATGTACTATATGGTTTTCTTCTCAACTGCTAAGTTTTTTTATTTAATAAGAGAGCAAAAACTATATTTAATAGAACACTAAATCCGCAGAAACAGACCATATGTCGGCAGATTCGGGTTGGGAGCTATACTGAATCCGAAAGCCACAAACAATAAGATATAAATGGAACAAAACCCTAGTTTTACTTTGGCGTATTTTAAACAGATCTTCTCCATCGGACGCCGTTCACTTGTTTTGTTCTTTCTTGCTTAAATATCTTTTTATAAGTAAGATACTAAATAATATGTGCATGAAAATATTCGAACATATCATATAGCGATACATAATTTTCCCCCTTAATAATATCCGACGACGACTATCCTTATGATAATAAAATAATATCTGAGTTAAATAAAAATATTTTGCTCGACTAATGCGTCCGCTAAACACTCGTGCTTTCCTTTTAAATATAGCTTGTTGCCTATTTGTCGGACAATGTTTTATAATTGTTAAAAACTTTTATATTCAACATTCAAAGTTTTATAGTTTTCCAGAAGAATCAAAAGTTACTGATATTAATTATACTTTTCAATGAAATTAATAAATTTAATTAAAGAAATGGAAAAGTTATTATGCAATCTACACTTTTTTTTATTAGTTTGATAGAAAACCTGTTTGCCAAAAAAAAAAAAAAAAAAGTTTGATAGGAAAACTAAAACATTTTTTTTTTTTTTTTTTTTTTTTTTTTTTTAAAACACCTTACAAGGTACAAAACCCTTAGAAGCACACAGGCCCACAAAAAATTACAAGGCATTAAAGCCCAGCAAGTACACAGACCCAGCATACAAGGCCACCAACAGCCTAAGATGGCACACAGGCCCAAAGGAGAGAGAAAGGAAGAGAAGAAGAAGAGAAAAAGAGAAGAGACGAGAGATACACAAAAGGAGAAGAAGAAAGGAGAAACAACAGGGAAACAAACCAGATTACCTGAGAAGAAACGATGCCATCTCAGTAAAACGATGACACCACAGCAAAGGAGACGGAGAGAGGCCTACAAAAGATTGAGAGGTTGAAAGTCTCTAAACCACGAAGCAAGATAAGAAATATTTGGAGGCACAACTCTCTGCTCTCTTGATAGCGGGTCAAGGCGGGAGCGAACGATATTTTTGACTTCCAGAAGAATGGCATTAGGAGGCCTTATAGAACCTGTGTGAAGCCGCGAGTTTCGCTCTCGCCAAATAAGATAAACAGAGGCATGATAGGCCAGCCTAAGAATCATGGCTGTATTCTTGTCTTGAGTAGGATTCTTTAGCCATCTAACCCCTTCATCAAACAAAAATGGGGGAGAAACATGGGCTTTGGAAGTAAAGAATCCCCAGACTACAGAAGAGAAAGAGCATTCAAAGAACAAATGCTGCCTAGTTTCATCATGAGCGTTGCAAAGAAGGCAGCTAGAAGGGACGGTTAAACCCCAGCGCAGAAGCTTGTCACGCGTATGCAAACGATGCTTGACGTTCAGCCAGTTGAGAAAGGCATGTTTGTGGACTCTACCTTTAAACCAAACAGCTTCAAACCAGTCCACTTTAAGGCCATGAGGGTACAGAAAATCCCAAGTTCTAGCAGTGGAGAACACTTTGACTGGATCAGAGTCACCTATTTTCCAAAGGAAAACATCATCTGGAGCATCCACATCAATATTCACAATACTAGGAGGCGGGAGACAGTCTTTGAGGAGGTGAATAACACTATTACGGCTTCTACTAGTAGAAAGTCACCAATGCCCATCGCGCACAGCATCTCTAACAACTGCACTTCTGCTCAAACCTGTGATTCGAGGGCCTATGTCTCCAGTTAAATCAATAAGAGGCCCTAGGCCTGTCCAGTTTTCATAACTAAAACATTACATAACCTAAAACATTACATAACCTATAATAACTAAAACATTACATAACCTATAATATGTTCTACGTACGGGTAATGGTTAAAAGATTTGACATATATAAACACTTAAATGAATCAGTACATTCCAATTAGCAGTAGCCATTTCAGTATATATCTACATATATCAGACTCAGAGCCTATATTTTTCGTCATCATACATGTTCTTATTGCATGAAGGCCCTGCAGAACTAAATCTGATAAAAATTGGTTTTCAATCTTCATCATGCTTAACCGGATAGAAATAAAAAACTAAAACACTACATAACATACCATATAGTACTCTACGGCTTACTAATTTAATTACTAGCTATATAATAGTTTTAAAAATTTGACATAATTATACTTATGAATCAATACAGTCACCACGCACCACATTAGTACTTCTACATGCATATGAGAGCCTCCTTTTTGTCATAATACTTATTAATATTGATTATTCTGGTTAAGATTGGTTTTTAATTTCTCTTCATGCCTAACCGGATATTCTCCTGATTCTGCCTGTACACATCTAAAATACATTATATTTAAAATTCTGACAATACTATTTTTGAAGCGTTTGCGGTTTCATAATTTAGTTGATGCTGCTTATGGACGTGGGAACATGCTTGTAATTTAATTTTTATTTGGTCGTCCATCTAATTAAAAACTATAGTTAGATTGATTATTTTTTCTTTGGAAGATACGTACATTGTGAATAATGTAAAAGGGATTTAGAACATAATTATGATCCTTGAGACTTGAAAAATATATTTTATTAACTAACCGAAAAAATAAGCAAGAGAGAATCGTGGATAACGACCTAACGTATAAGAAACATGAGACATGTCACAATCACTCGAAAAGTTTTCCGATCAAAACTCGATTACTAGCACATGAAATAATTTTCCTAGATATTAAAATTAATAAAACAAATAGCCTTATTTTTTTGCTGTCACGAAAAAAAGCCTCATCTTTTTTTCTTTCTTAGAAATAATTTTATATAGACGATCAACCTGAGATTTCCAAGTTGAAAATTAATGGCATTTTTCCAAATTGCAAATGGTGGAGTTTCAAGAACTCAAAGGCAGAAACTGAGCATCATAATCTAACATATATTCAAAGGCAGAGACAATGAATAGGATAAAGTGTTTCAATATGGACCAACAAATGAATATGGACTAAATTAAAGATTTGATCATTTCATGGTGAAAATAAGGGCTTCGGATGAGATTTTTGTTCAAATCATATTTGTTTCTTGGTGATATGTTTTTTTTTTTTAATGAAAGATGACAGTGGTGCGTTTGAGATGTAAAACCAAACACTGCTCCCACTCAAAAATCTGCAAGAATGGGATTTAAAAATAATTGAAATTTGGTGTTACAAATGTCGTTTGTTAGCCATTGGAAACAATATTAAAAAGTAAACCAAGAAATATGGGAATATTTGAAACTCATCGCTAGCTCTCTTTCTTTTTATGTGGTTGTATTTCATATAATTTCACGTGGCCCAACTAGTTTCTGTCAATCCATCGATCAAAGTTTGTAGACAAGAGTGAACCCACACACACTCACACACATACACACGGTCGATCTTTTTTTCTACTCTCGTGTCCCTACGTCTCTAAACCCCATCATTACTTCTTGTGTTTTATTGGTATGCTGAGCTATAGATTGTTAGCAACAACCCAACATTTCGGGTCTGTCTGAGTTTGAACCCATTCGAAACTAGTTTACCCCGCTCGATCGATGTCATTGATTGATCATCATCAATATATGACATATGAAGAAGACGAACTCTAATAGATATCCTACATCGAATGATGGAATAAATCCTTGGGTAATATATATGTGATTTGGCAACCCGTCTTCCTTAGTTAGTTTTTGAGATTAGTTATGTCACATTACTAATGAACTTTTAACTTAATATTAGAGTACACATCAGTTATCATCTTGTTCGTCCAAGCTGAGAGCATGTTGCAACTTACTAAATATTTCTTTTGAAATTTGGTTTACATGGTGGTTGCAAAATCAGTTTTAAATCTGCATACATATATATTACAAACTGAAGTGGCATGATCAATATGGCAAATAAAATAAACAAAAACGCTCTAAAATTTGAACCAAATTCTAATTTGATTAGACAATCTATAATATCAATCCAAAAAGCAACCAAAGCTTATAAATTGGTTACTTTTAATTTATATCACAAATTATGGATATATTTGATTAATACTAAATCAAATCGTTACAAGATACATTTTTAACTATAGTAACTACTTTTTTGCAGTCCCAAACTAAACTCGTACTATATTTGGTTCCGAGCCATACAAATGTAGTATATGTATATACTCTGCATGTGAGGTTACCGCGGTGACCAATGAAATGATGATGTTAGTTACAAATTAAAAGAATGATGCAAAGAGAGATAAACGAACATATCCCAAAATGGTAGGATTTGATTTAATATTCCCATGCTCTTATTAGAAATCCCAACAAAAGTTAATATTTTATGCCCACACTATACAATATAACTAAAATGACATGAACTTGTAGCTTGAAGAAAAAAGTAAGAGACTATGGTATATGATTTACTAGTTAGAACAAGAATCTTTAACACATGGGATGTTAGGAGAAGGAGATTCGGATTCCGAATGATCCAACGGTGAGAGAAAAAATCAGAAAGAAAATTTCACAACCGTAGGATCTGTTCCCTTAACCACCTTGTAATGCCGGTCTTTATTTAATTTTGAGGAAAGAAGAAATTAGAAAAACAGCACCAAACTTATGTCTCTCATGTGACCGACCACCGCATCCTCAGTTGACCTGTCTTTGCCCCCACTTTGTCTCCCCACACAAACTGAAATAAAATGAACAAGTAGAAGACTTTAGATATCAAATGACTCCACGTGTCGATCTCTCATTCGCTTGCATCGGTTGTATCGTGTGGACCAACGAAGCAACATATAAAAAGCACGACGCGGTGCCATTACTACAACAAGAGAAGTGTAGGAGAAGAAACTTCTCATTTCATAATTGTTTCTCAAAGAAAGAAAGTTTCAAGAAATGGAGAAAGAAGGTCTCGGGCTTGAGATAACGGAGTTGAGGTTGGGTCTCCCGGGGAGAGATGTTGCGGAGAAGATGATGAAGAAGAGAGCTTTCACGGAGATGATCATGACGTCTTCGGGTAGTAACAGTGAACAATGTGAAAGCGGTGTCGTTTCTTCCGGCGGTGACGTTGAGAAAGTCAATGATTCGCCGGCGGCGAAAAGTCAGGTGGTGGGGTGGCCGCCGGTTTGCTCCTACCGGAGGAAAAACAGCTGCAAGGATGCTTCGGCGGCGAAAGTTGGGTTAGGGTATGTGAAAGTGAGCATGGATGGTGTGCCTTACTTGAGGAAGATGGATCTTGGTTCAAGCCAAGGTTACGATGATCTAGCCTTTGCTCTTGATAAGCTCTTCGGCTTCCGTGGCATCGGTTAGTAACAATTGTTTTTCTCTTCCCGTAAAAAGTAGAGTCGTACTCGTAATATTATTAGATCATGTGAAGAAAAAAAAAAGAAAGAAAAGCTAGCTATACATATGAGACGTCGGATTAAGAACTTTAGTGTTTTAGACGTAATGTATACGTTAGAACTAATTAAGTATTTTTAGTACTATATGTGGGAATGAAGCCTTAGTTATAAGTATTTTAGTACTTTTCTCTCTTTTTTTTCGTATACAACCGACAACTTAATTTATGATACAATGACAATACTTGTATAAATCAGTGAGTTATAATTTGGGTTATGAGATTAGTATTGTATTGTTGTGGTAACGATTCTATAGAATTTAGAGAGTGTTATGAAAAATAGAATATGTTGACATCATTATTAGTCATCACGGGAATATCATTTAGCTGATTTAAGATTAGTCCTAAAAATTTCGGATGTTTATTTTGACTGGTAATTTTAACTCCACAACTGTTTTGAAATATATCAAAAGTTCTGTGTATAAATAGTTATTGGTTTCAATTAATTCTTAATTCAATTTTTGTTTATTAGACAAAAACAAATAGTCTTATAATCATAGACTTTGGACTGTACTTGTATTGTTGGTAATTAGAGTTTCCTATATTTCTCAATATAATCACACAACACAATTAAGTATTTTACAAATATATATAAATGTGCAGGCGTGGCCTTGAAAGATGGTGATAACTGCGAATACGTTACCATATACGAAGACAAAGATGGAGACTGGATGCTTGCCGGAGATGTACCTTGGGGGTATGTTCATATCTTTTGACTTAGATGGTATCCCTATTTATTAGTTACAAAATTAATGAGAGTTTTGTTTGATATATTTGGTTATGCAGGATGTTCATAGAGTCATGCAAGAGGTTGAGGATAATGAAAAGATCGGATGCTACCGGGTTTGGGCTGCAGCCTAGAGGAGTAGACGAGTGATGATGGTTTGAAAAAAGAAAGCAAGGACCTGGTTAACCTTAAAACTTTAATCATCAAGATCCTTTTAGAACATTTTTCCTACTCTTCATGTTATATAAATTATATATGTTATAGTATATTATTCTGCTACAAAATTTCGAGTTATGATTTGCATAATTATTTTCAGAAAGACAGCTATATATATATGTATACACTACTTGTTTCTTGAGTGCTGAGTTAAGACATTTAATTTGTTTCAAATTTATTGTCAAGGGATCGATATATATGTGTAGGAAACATATGTAATACGTATCCATTATTTTCTTTTTTCTTAATCTTTGATTTATTTATTTTTATAAAAATAAGTATACAAATTGTTAATTATGTTTTCCAATTTAACTTTAATTTTAAATTTTGAATTCTGAATACATTCTTCTTGTCTTTGTATGATATCGTATAACTCTTCCTTTTTTTTTTTCTTTTGACACTCATAATTTCACATTTAAAGTCACATGTTGAGTATGTTTTACGTATATTATTCCTATTACAATGAATCTATATAGATGTATATATATCCACTCTCTTTGCCTTTGATCATTAATCTGAATTATAGAAAACACCGACATGTTCGGTATGTCGAGCTAATTTTTGTTTTTCTATATTGTCTTTCTGTACAACAAGATAGTCGGATTGATCAAAACTAAGATAAGTGATTATGAAACGATCGAGCCCATATGATTTGTTACAAACTGTGACCTACCCATGTGCATTGCAAACCATAAACAGGAAAGATTCACCTCATCCGCCTCGCGCTTCTACTTTTTTTTCTTGGCCTAAATTAACGATGCCATCATCGATTCATCGTTATCATTTTATCAACCACACTAGATACGTCCATTTCTGATTTCATACTGTATACGTTTTGATACGTTACGGTTCAAGGCTTTTCAGTATCCAACCAAAGGGGTTAGAGCAATGCAAAGTTAAATGAGGCAATAATATAACGAATTCTTAGAAAATCCTTTAAGATGACTTTTTGGCTTTGAATTTTCGGTAAACGTATACAAAGCAGCCTAAGAAGATTAAAGGCTAATAATTGCCTTTGTGGTGAAGTTACAATTTCTATATATATATCCTTCATTAGTAATACATTCATTAGTCAAATATTCCGGAAACATTTGAAAACAAAACATCCTATTGGTATCAAATGTCATATAATCTACATCTCTCTATTAACTGATTCCACGACCAAAACGTGTTTGTGTATATACAACAAGACAGCCACCTAGAGGAAAAAGTAATCAACAAACCAACTCAAGAGAGAATCAAACAAAGCACACCTAATGATCAAATAAGACATATATAGTTTTATTTATTCGTATAGAGAGACGGATGTTCATCATCTACTACCTCCTCAAATTTTACTATATCATAACCATAATACAAAAGGATAAACCAAATATAATACCTGAAGGTGATGTTGACAAAGCTTGTGAGTCAAGTCATCGACAACATGAGGATTATCTACACCGTCAAAGCCCATGCCTTCGAATAAAGGCATAGTGGGAATCTGACCGGAGTATCGATTGTTGCGTTTAGCTGACTTCGCACTCAGTTTAGTCTCCAATGGTAAACCAAAAGACTTCCTCCGAGGCGTCGTACAGTGCCTTCCTTAGCTCTTTTGAAGCTCCATATCGAACATGGCAACGAAACATCCGTATTCTGCTAGGGCATTTCGAACTATAAATCTCGTTGAGTCCCAGTGGGAAGTTCCCGGTTTGAGGTTGGGAACCGAGAAGTCGATGAAGGGGAGAGAATAGGGACGTAACTGAGTGATCTTGAACTACTTATCATCATTATTTTTCTTTTAAGGATTAAGAATCTGCAGTTAGCTTTGTGTTTGTGTTCTGTGAAGATCATGAAGACTCGCTTCGTTACTATATAGAAAGAGAGAGTCGAACGAAGTGTTAAGTAAACAATGGGGGTACAGTACAAACTGTACAATCCAATAGTTTCACATGCATGAACCACGGTTCTGTACAAATTAAGCGTGAATTAGGTACGTAGATAAAGTAGTGCATGTGAGCATATAACTATAAAAGAATGGAAATCATTTGACGTTTAAGAAGATATTACTATGTAGCTTTCCGAATATAACATTTCTCGTAAAAAACCAATTAACAAAAAAAAACAAGACAGTTCGTTTTTCCAAGTGGGAAGTAAATGGGAAATTTCTGAATCGATATTAAGATTATAGAATCACCAACCATGCATGACTTCATTTTCATTGATAGAAAATATTTATTATATCCATGATCCTATACAACAGGGTCAAGTGTCTTATACCCTCGAAAATCCTTTGCATTGAAGATGCCCTTAGGTATCGATATGACTATATACTTTTTTTTTTTTTCGCTAAACATGTAAATATCATATAATGAATAAAAGGTTTTACAATGAGCAAGACCTAAACAAAAGCAGGCAAGGCAAAAAAGAAAAACAAGGCCACAATAAGAACATCAAATAGCAACTAAACAGAGCTATCTAATCCAGAAGATCATTAGATTAATCCAACGCTTCATGTGACGGCGAGAGGAGATGATGTTGCGCATGTCCCGATCCACAAGCTTGAAGATGAGAGCTGGGGAGATCCTGGTAGAGTTATGGAGGACATTGTTTCTTTGTCTCCATATATTGTACAACACAACTTGGGCAATTAATTTACAACACAACACAACATGACTATATACATATCACATATATGTAATCAATTCATGCTAAACTAATATAGTGTAATCACACAAACTTAACCGGCTTTCACTGGTTAAAGTAAACTCAACATCTTTTTTTAAAATTGAATGATTACTCCTTTTGATACACATTTTTAAAATTTCAAAAGAGATCCGAGGTAAGAAGAAGTATTATTAAAGTGTTTGTTTGCTCACAAGAATTGTCAAGAAAGACCCAACCAAACAAGAACTATAGTCCATAAATTAATAACGAGGTGGAGCGTGGGTCCGACGTGGCATATAGCCGTTACAGTCCCACACGGCCGTTTCTCTACTTACGTGGCACTCCTTTTAAAATTAAAAAAAATAATATATTGAAATAATGAATAAAAAGGGACTGGTCATCGTTAAACATAGAAAAATCCGACCGTTGTTTGTGTTTTGTTTTTTTTTTGTTATCTTCTTCTTGCCTGAAAGAACAGAACTCACAACTCTCAAAAGATTTTTGCTTTTCTCTTTTGGTCAAGTAGAGAGAGACAGAGAAAAATAATTGATCTTTGTGACGATGTTGGAAGATTATGGTATAACGGAGGAAGATCTGGTGATCGAGGAAGCTCAGGGCTATCCGAGAGCTTACGCTAAGATCTGCCGCGATTTTGATGTTTTCCCGTATAGAAATGGTCCTCCTTTTACATTCGTGCCCTACATTCTTCAGCAGAACGAGGTAATTGAGCTCAAAGTATGGGTTTTTAGAGTAATTGGAAGCTCGTTGGATTACATTTTCAGATCTAAATTCTATTGTTTGATTCTTCAAGTACAAAACCTTAGATTTGGAGTTGGAGTGATGTTTTTTCCTTTTTTTTGTTGCTTCTCTGTAATGACAAAATGTTAAAATGTTACTATTTTCCTTTGTCCTGAAGAGCTTGAGATGCAGAGAAGTAGATGATATGTTTCCAGTAATTGATCCGAAAGCGAGACCAACCGCAAAACCGAAGATCTTCCTGAGTCTCCTTTGGAAACAACTTAATCATCTAGGGTATGTGCTTATTTATTTTTCATCATACACAATTTTCTGACAACACTTGTAGTCAAGTTTTCAGATTCTTATGATTTTGGTTTTTGTTTGCAGAAATGCTGGGTTTGATCCAGCTGTTATTCGGATTGATCCGTATGGGAATGTTGTTTACTTCCACGCTGATTCTGCTTCTCCTCTTGCTTGGGGTTTTGATCATTGGTTCCCTTGCTCAAGTACACACTTCTCCCTTGTTTGTTTATATTTTTTTTGAGTTTCTTTGTTTTCTGGTTGATATTAAAGCTTTCTCTGTATCTATATTGGTTTTGTAGGGGGAGGATTAACAGTACCAAGCAACCTAAGGGTAGTGCAATGGCAGGCACGCAAGAACAAGAAGGACAAACTTGAGTTCCTAGTACCATGGTGGGATCTTCAAGTTGGGATTTCAGTTAATCAGTTCTTGTCCATTTTTGCTGCTTCTAGCTCTGATTTCAGGTATAAAGTAACAACCTTTCGGATGTATATAGTAAATTACCGCTGTCTATACTCTATACCTTTGATGGACAAAAACATCCTAACCAAAATGCAAATCTCATAGGAGGAGAGCATTTTCATTCTTGTTCAAAGAAGGTGAAACCGAGGAACTTAATGGTTCACAAACGGTTGATTCACACCATTTCCCGCAACATTTTGTTGAATCGAAAGAGAAGTATGGGCTTGCCTCAGCTGCAGTTGTTGTTTCTAGAAGAGATCCTTATGATCCTTCATTAGTCTTGAGATCGCTTGATTACAATCGTCAAACACCTGGTTAGTAGTAACAACTACTCGCTTTTCGATTACCGATATATGAACCCTCTTTTATCTACTGTTGTATTAACCCAACTAAATAAAATTGCAGCAAGGAAGATGAGATTCGGTGCAACCAAAGAGAATGAGACTCCAGACTTGATGAAAAATTCTTATCAAGCCATTGCTGCTGCGAGGGACTCACTGAGACACCGAGAGGAATCGCAGAATATGAGAGCTGAGATGAAAAAGTTAGATGACGAAACAAATGATTTGACAAGAACGAACAATGAAGAGCGGCTTACCATTCAGGAGCTGGAGAACGAGCTGGTTAAGCGAAGAAGAAGAGCTGAAAAGTGCAGGAGATTGGCAGAAGCTCAATGCTCGTACAGGAATACACTTGAGAAAATGATCCGCGATGCTATGCACCAGTAAGATATTTTCTCTATACAACAGTTGCATTTCAATATTCTTAGGCAAATATATTGTATACTAACTTTCCTTACTGTTCCTTGTTGGTTTGTAGGAGTGTTGTGTATAAAGAACAAGTGAGGTTAAACCAGGCAGCGAGTGGTGCGCTTATGGCAAGACTAGAGGCGCAAAAGGCTATTTGTGATAGTTCAGAGAAAGAACTTCACAAGAAGTTTAAAGAAAGAGAGGAGCTGGAGAGTCAAGTGAGGCCTGAACTAGAGAAAGCAAGGAAACGATCGAGACATTTGCTGAAAGATGAAGATGACCTATTGCTAGAAGAGAGAGACAGGAAGCTCTCTCTGTATCTTCCAGGAACAAGTGAAGAAATGTCTTCACACAAGGAGTTAAGGGTATACTTTGAGGAGGAGCATAAAGCAGCAGCTTCTGAGGCTGAAACTCAGAAGCAGGGGGAAATAGAGGAGGTGGAAGAGGAACAGCAGAATGCAGAGGTATCTGAGAAGTCCCTTGTCGCGTTAGAAGATAATGAACCGGTTGAAAAAAAGGTGGGTGTAGAAGAAGGGAAGAGAGGCAGCAGAAGCTTCAGAGCATTCCATGTTTTCAAGGCACCAGAGAGTGAGGAAGATGAGGAAAGCAGGATAGAGCGAGGGAAAGGAAATGTTGAGAACTGGCTTCATATTTTACTGGAGAACAACAGCAAAAACGGTCCATGTGATCTTCAAACCGAAGGAAGCAACAAGAAGATTGATGAAATGATAGAGAAACTGGACCAAAAGTTCCCAATGCTTGAAAAGGTTGATGAAGAAGTGGACTTGAAGTTGCAGGCTGAGGAGACAAACAACAACACAAGCAAGGTGGAAACAAGAACTGAAAGTTCTCATAGAAGCAGAATGAGTTTTGATTTGAAGAACACACCAGAGAAGAGTGGCAGAGACAAAGTGGTAAAGAGATCAGAGAGTGCTAGAGCTTTCAGAAGGATTCCATCATCTCCATCGCTTATCTTCGGAATGAAAAAGGGAATTGACTGCATCAGGAAGAAGCCAGTGGTTTCAAGGAATGATGATGAGAGCGAATATCTTGTTAAGAACAACTTCATCAAGTCATCTCTCCAAACAATCAAACGAGCTGTCAAATTTTAAAGATTCTGATGAAAGCTTTCATCGATACACTCCCACATATCTACATATATGCATTTGTTTATTGTTGTGATCAAGTTGGTTTATTCATTATTGTGTATAAAAAGACTACTCCATTGTTGCTCCTCCATGTGTAATAACAGCTTGTTGTGTTGTTTCCATTAATGCAAAATTAAGACAAAGACTTTCTCCACCTTGAAGGTGTTGTTCTTCCTTTGACAAGCCTTGTCTTCATATTCCCAGGAGTCCGAGGCTCAAATCCTTCATTGTCACCTGATTCTTCCTCACCCTTGTCAACGCTAACACTTCCTCTAATTGACGGTACTAACCCGAGCCTCTTCCACCGGAAAAACCCTTTACTCCCACCACTACTCTTCTTTTCCATCAGCCTCTCCAGCTGCAAGTGCATTGCACTGCACTCACTCTGCAGCCTAGCAACATCCTCTCTCAGCCTTCTTATCTCTGCTTGTTGAACATTCATCTCACGTTTAGACAAGCACCGCGCTGCAGAACCTGCCTCAAAGTAATGTGAAGCAGAAGGGTTTGTTGGACTCCTCGTTGTGCTGCTTATTGAGCTACCGTTCCAGTCAATGTGACGACTTAGCTTTGTCTGCTCAGTGAACAAGACTCTGATGATTGCTCTCACCGGTAAACGATCATTCTGAGCCGCGTGGAGAGCTGCTTCCGGTGATAGCTTTCTGCTATCAATAAGTCTACAAAGTTCCTTCCTTTCTTGCTTCAACACCTGAGGATGTGCCTGCAATTGAATTCGAATCTTGAATTGAGTCATACTTTTGAACTGAAGTTAAATTTGAAGTTCAAAAATTTTAAGCTTTATTACCTTGAGATATGTATCAACGGCGCGGTACAAGCCATCCTCTGTAGTACGAGCATGGCTAGGAAGAGCTTCGATTAAGGAAATAAATTCCGGTAAAGACAAACCGCCGTCAACGGCGGCTTCAGCGAGATAAGAGTCAACAAGCTTAGCCACTTTAACAAGAGCAGCACCGGTTTTAACACCTTCACTATCCAATCCTGCGAATCTCTTCACAAGACGTGTCACAAGCTCAACGTCAAGCAACGTGCCAGACGTGTAGCTGAAGGAAGGTATCATAAGCTCCTTAAGCGAAGCTTGGTCGAGCTGCCACGATACTCTGGTTTCAATCTCCGTTAAGTAATTCGGATTAGCTCCGACCATTTTCGCCGTCCTCAGGAGACGGAGGAGGAAATTGCAAGGAACAGAGTCTTTCTCCGGCGGGAGGATTCCGATTAGTGTCTCGACGAAAAACCGTTTCTTCATTACAGACGCCGTGACGCTCTCTGGCTGTTGTGTGTCAATGGGGTGGTTTTTGGATTCGATGGGGGTGGAAACAATGGCGGAGACATTGCCGGAGAGGTCAGGAAGCCACTTGGAAGCGTAATGAGCGATGATGGAACCAATGAGGTCCGGTCTGATCCCTTTGGATTTGATTCCGGCAATGGTTTTGACGAAATAGTTCATGTCTTGGATACATGAGTCGTCGAAGTAAGAGTAGTACTCCATATCACCTCCGGTGAAGGTTTCTTGGTGATTGCTGCCGTAGATGGTGACGGGTTCCGGCGAAGGTGTTTTCTTCATTGGTTAGCTCCGATGTGTAGTAGAAGATGATTTTGTATAATAGAGAAAGCAAAGAGTTTTGTGGTCTTTCTAACGTTTACTTATGGTTTTTGCTCGAAAAGCTCATCAGAGAACATAATCATGATTCCACAAATTTCCAAAAAGTTTTTCTTGTTTTTGTCAATAGTTTTATAATTTGTAGAAAATATAAATAGAAAATGGAAATCTTTTCATTTTCTAATAACTAACGAATTTTATTAGATTTCATTTTCGTGAATATGTAATAATAATATACACTTTCGGAATATTAATTTATACATCGTAGCTGCCTCTTATAGTGACCGACATTATAATCAAAAACATTTTTGTCCTGATCTGTAAATTGTATATATGGTACTTCAAAAAAAAAAAAAAAGAGTTATCATTAATTTCTATACTCGATTAAAATTATTGTTTTGAAGGTTAATAGAATCATATTAATATAGCAAAAATATATTAAGATATGCATATATGCGTGAAGAGGATTGAGACTTGAGAGGCTGTGGAAGGAAGATAGCGATAAGATGAACTGATGAAAGGATGAAGACAAATCATTTTGAGTTGTTTTGCCTCGTATACTAAAAACAATTATAGTGGTAAATTTTACACGTATATATGACAAAGGGAATGAAATTAATGCATAGTCGTGTCCTTGTCTTACTCTGAGATGCTAAAATTGTATTTGTATTCTGGTCGTTGTATCACTATCAATTGGTAAATACAATGAACGAATTTTGACAGTCCTGGTTTCGAATGTGAACTTCAACATTATTATGGTTAAGTTTGGTTTTGATCTAAAACAAGAATATTGTCTAAAACTGTAACTGTGTTTGTATGGGAACATTTCAACAACTTTTGTAACACACGAACTCACAAAGTACATTCATGAATGACTTGCAATTTTGACTGTTAAAAAGAAACTAACTATAGATAGATAAGCTTCTATGTACATAGCTAAAGAAAACAATACATTTTGAGAAAAGACAAAAGAATCGTAGTCTCTCTGTTTCCTTCTTTTGTAATATCCTTCTCTCCATGTGGTTTTGTAGATGAAACGACAATGAATGGTCCCGTTTTAGAATAATCGTGACCATGCCGCTTTGTCTTATCACAACCATACGTACATGCCAAAAATAAGATTCTTTCTATCTTGCGTTTCTTTTTGGTCCCGTTGCACATTCACATCATATCACGAGTGTTGATGTTATACCAACAGGTTTTTTTGGGTTTTGAGTAGTTTACCTTTACACAAACTGATGAAAAGCTTATTGATTACAATTGTGTTTCTAACAGCGAGTGTTGATGGTAAATAAGAGACTTCCTGAAAAACAAATTCGATAATCTTGTGTCAATAGCAAGCATTATAGCATCTAACAAGGCTGGCTGTTACTTCTTTTCTTCATCAGTTTCGTAAACTTCAGGCACCCATGTAGAAACATCGGAAATCTGTCCATGGTTTTGGAATTTGTCACAATGATTCTCTGCCTTATGCCCATTTGAAGGGTGCAAAGCAACTCACTCTGTTTTCTACTATCTTGTTCCTATTTTTGTTCAAAGTTTTCGTAACGCATTTCTTAGTTTTTGTCTTTTTGAACTTACAATGCAAAAATAGTAGTTCTTATGTTTGTACTTTAAAGCCTGAACCAGTATATATATATATATATATAACAAGTACTCCAACCAAAAGTAGCCAGGACTGATGGGTTGGCGGAGAGGAAGTACAGAACTCCTTCTCTATGGTCTTTTTGCTTTCTCATGAAGATGAAACAATGAAGAAATACACTTTGGAATTGAGATTGTACTAGTAACATTTGTACAGATGAACAAAGTCTAAGGATAAAAAACAAGCAGGCATATAAGCTTACAAGTATCTTCTGATGAAGTGAACAGCTTATGTTGAAGTATTTGTACACTAACATGGTTTGGTTCAACCGAATGTTTTCTCACTGCTATAGCACATATAAACGAATCCATCTTCCTCTTTGTAAGATTCATAGACCGAGTCCATTAGAGCAGCTGCAGAGAAAGGAAAAACAGATCACATCATCAAACAACGATGCCTATAAGCAAAAAAAAAAAAAAACCAGTTGCAGAAGAAACTCACCTGTTTGAGGGAGAGTGTTGTTCACGAACACGAACAAGGCTTTACCAGGAGACAAATGTAATCTAGCACCCAATATGTAGATGAATTGGCCTACTGACATATCTCTTGGAACCAGAAACCTAACATTGAAAGACACTTGAGTTCATCATTTCCCAAAGAACATTACTGAAACTATTCATACAAAAGTGATCACTTCTGAAACATTGAACATAAGTAAGCACTGGTCCGGGGAGTACAGATTTTTTTAAAAGTTATCAAACAATTCATAAAGGCAGACAAAAATATGAACAAGAGAAATTATAAAAAACAAAACTTAGGGTGAAATGTTTGTACTTCTTTTTCTCGATTTCAGGCAGATCTGTCTTGCAATACTTTTCAGCAATCACCTGCAAGATTTAATCCAACACAATTGAGTTCCGACAAACAAACAAAATCATTTCTGCGTACATCCGATGAATTGAATAGATTCAGAAGAAACAGTTCAGAAGGAGATATTATTTGGGGTGGATAGACTTACTGGAATCCGAGTAGGGTACTTAGCGATAATCTCACGCGATTCAGCGAGCCTCTCATCTGCAAAATAAGAGATAAAAGGTTATTCATTACTTCGTTTTTCAAAACGACTTAGTAGTAACATCTGAAACTGTGATCGATCTTTAGAAAGGCGCGAACGAACCCAAAGTGTATTCTTCCTTGAACGATTTCATCTTCTTCTTCGACCGCCGTGTGATTTTCGGTGTTCTTTGTTTTGGTCTCCGTCTTTCCAAAAGTGGCGACGAAGTCAAACGATAAATAAAAGTAGAAAATATATAAAATACGATTTAAGTTCTTAAGTTTAGTTCATTTAATAACAAAGCAGGGATAGCTCAGTTGGGAGAGCGTCAGACTGAAGATCTGAAGGTCGCGTGTTCGATCCACGCTCACCGCATATTATTGTTTTTTTTTTCCCAATTTTGAATTTAAATTTTGACACAAAATTTCTCATTTCTTCAGATTTATTATATCTTCTGTTTATACTTCTTAAATTGGCGTTGGTTATACTGTATAACTTATACATAAAAGCATGTTTCACAAATTTACACAAATCGGATTTTAAAAAACCCAAATGATATAGTGATCATAAGGGGTGAAGTCATATTCGAGCATATCAATACGGGTTCCTCTGCGGAGTCTAAGGAGCAGAGGCTGAAGAGCCTTCAACACTATTCTCATGTTTGGCCTGAAGTCTGCCTCAACTACTGTTTGTTGTTTAGAATGTCGCTTGTAAAACCACATGAAATTACACAAAACAAAGCAAGAAATTTGATTTGACTGAAAATGAACACTCTGTTTCTTATATTCCCTAGCTTAGCAGCAATCAGAACAAAAACTTAGCAGCTCAATACACATGATGATTCTGGTCATTCGTCAAGTAAAGCAGACACTGGACTCTTTCTAAATGGATCAACCTGAGCCAGTTTCACAGCAAGAGTCTTATTCGGGTACACGTTATCTGCCTTCATCCTCTGAATCATCCCATAAGCAGGAGTTTTGGCTTTGATATAAGCCAAGAGAACGGTTTCATACTGCATAAGCTGAGATGCATAGCCTGCATTTTTCATCCCCAGGAAAACCTTCTCCGCGTTATGAACATCGCCTCTTTTTGCATATTCCTCAAGAATCAACATGTAAGAAATGAACATAGGTCTCATCTTTTTATCCTTTGTCGCTCTGTTCAATATCAATTCAGCTTTTCCAACTTCTCCCGCTTTGACGTAGAGCTTCACAAGTGCGTGCCATGTTGAAGGGCCAATCTTAATTCCTGCATTTCCCATTCTTTTAACCAGTTCTTTACCTTTCGCTAGCATCTTGTTCTCTGTGTATATCTCCATGAGGGAAAAATATGGTAGCATAGGAAAAATGTTATACTTCTTCACAAGCCTCTCAAACACTGCCTCTGCTTCTTCAATTTCCTTCAGCTTTCCCCATGCTCTAATGGCAGAAATGCAATTATCATATCTCGGATTTTCCTCAACAAACCTACTCAATCTTCTCACATTGTCAGTGTCTCCTATGTCTGCATAAAGAGGGAGTAATGAACGGCACACCCATGGAGTTTGTTTCAAGCCTTTCCCTTCCATTTCCTTCATAACTTCTTGCGCTCGCTCTTTAAGCCCTCCTCTTATGTAGTACTTAGCCAGGCTAGACTGTAGTTCTGGATCAAGCTCAATACCTTCTTCCTTCATTGTCTCCACAATCTTCTCCATTCCAGTTATGTCCCCGGCTAAACCTTTACTATTGATTAAAAACAGATAGGTACCACGACTCGGCTTGACGTTTTCTTTCTCCATGAGTAACAAAACATCAGCTATCTTCTTCCTATCATGCATACTGTAGAGGAGAAGCAACTGGTTGCAAGCAAACACGCTTGTTGGAAATTTTAGTTCTCTCATTTTCTTAAAAAGGTCTTCGGCTTTGTTCACATGGTGCTTAAGTACACAATTTGCCAGCAGGGTTCTGTACACTACTTCTCCCCTCAAAGTTTCAGGAATATCCTTCAAAAAGTTTTCGGCTTTTTGTAGACCATGTACTTTAGACACCAAATCCAGTTGAGAAGCATAGTTTGCCTCTGTGAACTCAAATTGGGTATTAGCTCGCAGCCACTCCCACAGCTGTAAAACCAAATCAGAGACATACAAATTAAGAAAGTGGATAAATAAAACAAAAAACGATGTGGCAAAGTAGAAAATGAGAAGACAAAAATTACCTGCAAACCCATATCATAAAATCTGCGTTTACGCAGATTATGTATAGCAATAGAAACCTCAGCTTGACTCAAACATTTCCCTTCTTTGACCCATTTTTCAAGAACATGCTTCACAGATTTATAGGCAACAATAGATTCATACAGCTCAGAGCTCACTCTTTTCTTTGTTGTTTTCCCATCTTTTGAATGCCCTACTTCGATTTCAGGATCATCATCAGCGGACGCTTCTACATCATTACCAAGCTCAGACTCGAATAAAGAACCATTATGAGCAACTCCCTCTGTTACATCCCCAGAAACAGGAAGCACCTCCTCTGATTCAGACAGCTCCTCTTCCTTAACTTCCTCAACTCCTTTGTCTCCAGCATCGGCTACAGAAGAAAGCTTATTGATGCCAAAGAAGCGTGAAAACACATTTCTTGTGGTATAAAGTCTGATTAAACCTTGAGATTTGTTGTAAATCAATCCAGATGATTTGAAGACCCTTTCTTTGTCACAACTTGATACTTCTTCTAATTTACTAACCGCACCAAACGAAGTGGATGCAAAGCTATAACTCCGACTCCTAAAAATACACAATTAAGAAAAACAGAAGAAAATTTCAACCCAAATGAACCGTAAAAACTGAAACAAACCCACTAAGAAAGATTTAAACTTGATTAATGGTAAACTCAAGATTCTGTAACGTTGATAAAGTAACGAAAAGGCAGAACCCAGAATCTACATATCACAAAGCTGTTACCTTCGGAGAATCCTCGAAAGCGAATACATTACTTCCTTCAATCAATTGAGATGAGAATCCTGAAAAAAGCACACAGAACAACCACAATAAGATGCTAGAGTGATTTGTATATGAATAATCAATTGTAACAAGCCGTAAGAATCAAAACCCATTTCTCGACACTTACAATTTCTGAGGAGGTTTTATTTCCGCCGGAGAGAAGTGTGATTTCTCTACTGACTACTACTAGACGACAAAACAATAAAATTTCAGGGTTTAATGACTCTCCTAGAGTTTATACGTGTGCCAATGGAATACTAGTCTCTTTTTATTCTTTCACAAACGTGCGAGGTGGTTAAAGGGTATATTTGTCAATTTCAATATAGAAAGGTGATGTTTCTGTTTGGTGCCAATCTCAAATGTTTGAAATTTCATATTAAAAAACTATAGGTTATATAATACCATCAGAGAAAATAAACACAATAAGTGATCTTCGTTGAAAAATGTATGTTAAGAAAACTCCAACATCGATCATGGTTATACCGAATCATTCGTATGAAAATGTCTTTGAAAAGGGTTAATTGTATATGAAAACGTTTTATTTGATCACTCTTAACACAAACTTTTACGATTTTTAAAGCAAAAAAAAGAATGAATAATCTGAATTGACCAGCTGTCTAGAGTTTACAGCTACGGTAATATAGGCTTAATAGGGAAATGGGTTTAGTAAATGGTAACGTGTAAAAGATTTAAAAGTAAAAAGTTTTTGTTTAGTGTTTTGATTAAAAAGCCATCATGTTTATATCTGGGTAAAACAAAGACGTGCATCAACTAAACAGAGTAGTTAAAAAACTTACTAATTACAGTAATTTAATTCATAATTAAGCTAAGTATCCAGAAATCTCCATGAAGCAGCAGCATCATCTATCGTCAGCTTCTTCAGTCAAAACTTTTTTTCTTAATTTTTTGCTTAAAAAAAACTTTCAAAAACCCTTTCGGAACCCTCGATCGTCGCTGTGAGAAAAGCTCCGGCGACCTAAAATCGTCCGGCGAACCTTCTCCTTCTCGTATACACGTATTTCGAAGCATCCGCGAGGTCATCGTGTGTTCTGCATTGTACGGATCCTCTCCCGATCGACGACTCAGCTTCCGGTAAAAAAGCTTTCTCCTCTTTCCTCTCTGTAGTCTTCGAATCGTCGTTCCTTTATTTTGATTTTAAGAAACGGTGTGAGCTGCTTCTGTGTAAGTATCCGAAGCAACGTCCGTACAGTTTTTAGCGTCGCCACTTCCGTAGCTTAAACGTTTGAGGTGTTTTCCGGTAGTTTTTGTAGGGTTTCTGATGCACGTTGCTAAAACCACCATGTGTTTATACAGATTATCACTTGTATTTCGCTTTCCGAGTTCACTGTTGCATTGACGTTTGTTTCTTTGTTTGTTTGGAGCGAACACTAAGGTCTTTTTCCAAGTTTGGAAGTTGGGTAGCTTGGTTTTGAGGTATTTAGTGTTTACTTCTTAAACTGACTTTGATTATACAGTAATCAACCTTTAATTTCTGGTAATGTTCTAGCTAATTAAGGTAATTAGGTTTACTGGGATGAAATCTGACTTGTTTACTTTTGTGGAGTTGGTTTTGACAATTTCCTGTAAATGTTTTGGATGCTTCAATGTACCTTATATTGTCTTTGTTAGGAATTACTTTAATCATGTGCTTGCAAAGTTTCCTTTGAGGTTAAAGACGCCTTATGTCCATAACTCTTTTGGGTGATGAACTTATCCATGAACTTACACTCTCTAGTATGACAATTGGTTGCATCTTATTCTGTTTATCTTCTTCTCTCTTCTACAGTTTGGGAATATCACACCAGGCAGGATAACTCCTCTATGTTTCAATCCAATGGTGCCAGTGGAGAAGAGTACCCTGATTTTAAATGGGGTGCTAAGAGAGGGGTGGGACGGAAAGATAGTAAAGTCCGGTTCTATGAATCATTTACCTATGAGGGCATCGAGTACCGGCTTTTTGACTGTGCTTATTTTTATGTATGTGGTCAATGTGAGACTTCAATTGGGAAGCTTGTCAGCATGTACGAGACATCAGCAGGTGAGAAGAAAGTAAAGGTCATTTGGTTCTTTCGACCTATTGACATCCATCGCTTCTTGGGAGAGTATGAGCCACAATGGGATGAGTTGTTTCTGGCTTGTGGTGATGAAAAAGGGGTAACCAATATCAACGATGTGGTAAGTTTGCTTCCTTTTCCATCTCCTTCTATCCTTCTTACTGATTAGAAATAATAATCGGAAGTGATGATATGCTTATTATAGATGTAAGCTCAGTTTGGATTTCCTGTGTTGTTGGTCCAGGAGACGATCATGGGGAAATGCAATGTTGTATGCATATCGAAGGACCGAAGAAACCCACCACCAGAAAGAAATGAGCTGAGGAAAGCTAACTATGTCTTCTCCCGCACCTTCGATACAAGGCTGAAAATTATATCAAAAATCTTTGCAGATGCAATAGCTGGAATTGGAGGTTTGGATTATAACCAAATTACAAAGCTTTATTCTTCAACCCGTTCTTCAAATATGGATTTAATAATGCTATGTTTGCTTTCTACTGTCTCTAATAAATGCAGTGGAGAAAATTTTCAACAGAATAAGGGATAAGCAGCCTGTAAAACGTCTAAACTCAAGCGCAGCTGCCAGTTCCAGGACTTCTCCAGTAAAAAAAAATCATCCAGATTTGGGATCAACAAAGTTAGAAAAAGAAAATAACAGAGATGGAAAGCTGACGAGTAGAACAAGCTCGGGAAAGAAAGGTTGATACTTTTTCCTATCTTTGTTGGCTTCTTATTTGATATTGGAGGTTTGGATTATACTTGTGAAATAGACAAACCAGATTGACGCTTACCTTTGTTTTGCAAGTCTCTTTTCTGGAGGAACGTGCTGATCATGTACATGTGAAGAAGAACCCTCTTGTCAATACTGATACCATGCCAAGAGGTCCCATAACCAAAACCAGAGCATTTGGGGAGTTACATGCTTCAGGTTCATTAGTCGATGCTAAGCCTTCTAAAAAGAGGAAGCTTATACTCAACACGCCAGAAACAGATGATTCAGATGATTCAGGCCCTCAACTAGGAGAGACGAAATTCATTAAAAACCCTCCTCTTGTAGAAAAAGCTCCAAGTCAGAACATCGTACGTACCATCTCTATCCTTCTTCAGTTCTTCTTTTGGTGGATTAGCTGAGAGAAATGTTGACAATTTACAGCAGAAAAGTGTACACAATTTTTGGGAAATGAACTATTTCTTTTCTTGAGCATAGCGGAAAGATTATTGTCACTGTAGATTAGATAGTATTTACTTATGACTTACCAAATTATTTTCTCTTATTTCTTGCCTTACAGAAGAAAAGCAGCTGGTACAAGAAACTGGTAAGTTCTCTGACGCCTCCACCAGTTTCCGCTGTTAACTGCATTACAATCATGTTTTGTTTTATAAGAAGAATCTGAAACAATTCATTCCAATAGCCAATGTTTTTCATGCTATTGGCTTTCATCACTCGAAATCAGACCAAGGGATAATATTACAGTTTTCAGAAACTATGAAGTATTTTAGATAAAGTTAGTTCAACAACTGTCCTGGTTCAGAAAAAGTTGTTCTCAAATCACTCGTTTTTTCATTTAACATTGCTATATTCCCTTTTCCAGCCTTTTGAGGAAGAACTAAAAGCGGCTATAGAAACAAGTAGGGTGCTCTTAATTGAGAACCTGGAACCATCATACACATCGCTGGAGGTAGAGGTATGAGTTAGTGATTCTACATTGAAAGTAAGAATGGACCTAATCTATTTTATAAAGGATATGATTTCTTTAATCATCAACTGGTTTTTAAATAAAAATTCATGAACCTAGGTTTGACCTGAAAAACGGGAATGGGTTGATCCAAAGGTGAAATTTAATCCAAGATATGGGGATGCTAGGAATCTCACTCAATTCCAATTTTTGAGATGGAAACCTGTTGTCTTTGATGGTATACATGTGTTGCCATATTATCGAGAACTAGTTTTAAGAACAATAATTTTCTGGATCTTATTTAGTGTTGGCAATGCAATGCCAGCCACATACGTTGATCAAAGACACGTGGAATTAGCAATCATTATTAAAAGCCTAGAAATTATAACATTCCTCCTCATCCTTTTCCTTTTGTTCTATTCAGGAACTTTGTAGGAAAGCTTTCAATGAAGGAGTTGATGCTAAGATGATCCCTTCTAGTCTCATGTCTAGTCCACTTAGTGGTATATGTGTACACTTACCTGTTTGCTATTTGCTAGCTCATAATGTTAAAAAATAAACAATAATAGCTGTCAATGGCAACGAATTAAATTGCATTTACCAAATCAGGCAGGGCTCTTGTGATTTTTGGAACCGCAAAGGCAGCTGATTCTGCTATGGCGCGGTTAACTGAAGAGTGCCTGATGTTACCTGGCCAGAGGTTACTTACTACTCTGATATTCTATATCTCAGCATATGTGAAAACTTCACTAAACTTTCTTTCTTTTTCTATTATATGATTCATTGACAGAGCTCTAATGGGAAGCAGAAAAGTTCCAGAAGAAATTGGAAAACTTAGAAGCTTTACTGGCCATTTTAGCTTGCTAGATAGATCTATGATGACAGCTCAGAAGGTAAGGTGTTGCATTAGTCATGTCAAACATACTTCTTATTTCAACGCTCTCAAAAGTCCCAAGTACAAAAGATTGTCTCACACAATTTTGTTCGTCGAAATTTTTTTCCAAAAGAGAAAGGCCGTCTCAACATCACACTGCACGCAGCCCAACCACATTGTAGAACCTATGGCCTTTGAGTGGCTCGCTCGACAGGAAAAGTCAGAATTGACGTGGAAGAAGTTATTTGAGGTCTGCTTTTTCTCTCTTTTCAAAGTAGACTAAGAACCCATCTTTTGGTGCACCTTCCGTCTTTATATATTTATCTTCATCCATTGTAGATACAATCAAAGGAGACTGACATCCTCAGGCGCAAAATCTACCAGGAAACCAAAGGGAAGGAACAATGTGCACAAAATCCCTTCTCTTAACAACACAGAAACACTTGTCGGTTTTGGTTTAGTTCTGATGTAAACCCAACCCATTGTGTCTTTTAGGTGGCAGACTAGGCAGTAACCTTATACACTAGCAGGTTGATGCTAATTTTTGGTAGGGGTACATAGAGAAACCACTTGACAGGTTTTGATGTCATGGAAACTAACGATCATGTTGCCCTTAAAAAGATCAATACGAAGGGTTGTGCATCTTGCAAAGATTTAGTTATGGCTAGTTTCTCAATGGCTGTTTCACATGAACAAACCCCAAAACATTAATCAGAAGGAGAAACAAGTCACACACAGGTGGGTCCTTAAACAACAAACAAACAATCCTAAGAGTTTCTCTACTAATGTCTTAACATACACACGACTGTTATTACAGAAAAGGAGGTCCGAGATACAGAGATAGAGGGATTATAGGGAATGGTAGAGAAAACAAAAAAAAGGCTTCTTATTCTTTGCCAGATTTGTTAATGAGAGACTTGTGAATGTGCGGAATGACTCCACCACCAGCAATAGTTCCTTTGATGAGAGTATCGAGCTCCTCGTCACCACGGATAGCGAGCTGCAAGTGCCTTGGTGTGATACGCTTCACTTTGAGATCCTTGCTAGCGTTTCCAGCGAGCTCCAAGACTTCTGCGGTCAGATACTCCAAAATGGCGGCTGTGTAAACCGCTGCGGTCGCTCCAACACGTCCATGAGCAGTTGACCTACCTTTCAACAGTCTATGGACTCTTCCAACTGGAAACTGCAAACAAAATAGAGAACACAAAAGACACACACCGTTTTAAAGATCTATATAAACACAGCAAAGCAGCAAGATTTGACAATATTAGATTTGTTTCTCAAGCTAGCATGAAAGTCTATAAACTCATAAAAGCTCAAAGCATGTAAAAAGAATAGCCCGAAAATGAAAACAGAGGAGTAGAAGCATATAAACACAAATATCGATCTCTAGACTATATTATATAATCTAAGCTGAGGAATTCAGAACCAGGCAAGATCTGTCACTAAAACACACGGTTCACACATCCAAAATACCTGAAGACCAGCACGAGAAGAGCGAGTAGTTGGTTTCTTCTTGTCTTTGTCCTTGTCGTTGCCGCTGGGTTTCCCCATTATCAGACCTTTCGCTCCTTTTCCAGTCATTTTCCCGCCGAAAAAAAAAAGTATCACTCTTTTCACTGAGAGAGAAGACAGAGAGAGGGAAAGAGAAAGATCTTTAGCAGATAAAGAAAAGACAAGTAAGACAAGACGCAGAGAGATCTGTCAAGGGGATTTTGTGGGATAGAAATTGACTCTTTTACCCCTCCGCTTCGGCGCTTATTGCACTTGTAAGCCATGTCACGTCGAAAGCCCCCCCAACAACTCATGTCATATCACTAAATTGGCCCCCAACTATTTTTCTTTTTTAAACAGACCCCATGGATCCGTAAATGATCAGCTACATCCAAATGCATCTTCTGATTCAAATGAAGAAAGACAAAAGTCATTGTTCCTTAAAAGACTTGTTTGAAGTTTCCGTATATTCATTCATTCAGTCTGGAAGCAGAAAAAAATACAGTAAGAAGACAAAGGGAAGCAGCCACTTTTTAGACATCAGATGGTTTCTCTGCTGTTTTCCCTTCCTTGTTAATGTGAAAGCCTTCAATCTTACGAACAACCTCGTCTACATTCTTCTTCGACTTTGATTCGATGATTTCTTCAGGATTCACGGGACCAGTCTGCCAGATTCTGATTGTGCCATCTTCAGATCCTGAAGCATAAGATTCGCCTGTCGGTGCAAACCTTACGCAGTGAACCGGACCATGATGTCCCTTGTTGCATCCTAAAGTTCAAAGCGGAAAAAGACCCATCAAAACCGCAAAACTTCAAAGACAAACCATAAGACACTGTCAATCTTGCTTAAAACTGAGGTTATGTCAGTCACTCACCAATCTCCTCTCCAGTGTGGAAATCAAATAGTCTAACCCACATATCTTCTCCACCAGCAACGAATTTGTTGCCAGATTTTGGCTCAAGCGATGCAGATTCAATATTGCAGGGCATGTCGTAACTCTTCACTAGTCCAAAACTGGATGTCACCAAAGACATAAGATATAGAAGCTTTGAGCAGAATGCAAAAGACTATAATTTTCAAGACAAGACAGAAATCCAAATTCCTGAGACGAGAAGCTTACTGATTTGCATCCCAAAATTTAACAGTTGATCCATCAGCAGTTGTTATATACCGTCCATCTTGACTCACTTCAGCACTGGTGACAGGAGACTTGGTTTCTAATGTTTGCACAATTTTACCACTCCTCACGTCCCATAACCTGTTCAAGAGAAGAAACAATTAGTTTTTGTTCTCTGGGTAACTTGTTTTATGCAACATTTGTTATTTTTCATGAAATATAAACTCCATACCTCACACCACCAATATCAGCACAAGAACTTAATATTGTTTGGTCACCATGAAGCCATGTTACTGTTCTAATAGAACCAGGAGATTTATCAATTTCTGTAGGAGATGCATCCAAGCGATTCAAGTCGAAAACACGAAGAATTTTCTCAAATCCTCCTGTGATTAAACATTTCGTATCCTGATGAATAAAAAGCCACGTTAGAGACATGCCTGATTCTTACATAATACATTTCCTTGAGCAGACCAAATGAACAATAGCAATACCAGTACATCTTAGTCCAAGGTTTATGTCAGAAAACTCAACCAAAGAAGTTAACAATACCTGGGAGAAGGCGCATGCTCGTACAATATGCTTGTGCTCAAAAGAATGCAGGACATCCCCTGTCAAAGCATCCCAAAGTTTCCTAAAACAAGCCAAAATTATAGAGATCAAATTGGTTGGCCAACTAATCAAATTATGAATGAATAGATCATCTGCCAAACTCGAGCATAAACCGAAACCAAATTTGAGCATAAGCCGAAACCAAATCGATAATAATACACTTGTTGCAATGCTTTCCTATTCTCTCAATCAGGACTTACGCAGAAAAATCAGCGGAAGCGGAAGCAGCACGCAAGGCATTGTTATCGAGACAAGAACTCCACACAGCACCTTTATGCCCTTCAAAAGTACCAATCCAGTCTCCAGTTTCCCCATTTCTCAACATTGGATGAGAATCTAAAGAGAGAGTTTGTAGCAAAATACAAAGCGAATCAACAACAGTGGAGCAGAACAAGTTTTTCCAATTGAGATCTTAGAGGATAATCTTTTACCTTTGCTGGCGCTGATGAGGAAGAAACCATCAGGTGTGATTGGACTGTAGAACAACTCCACAACAGGTCTCGAATGGCCATGGCACACTAGTGGAGTCGCCACTTTCTTCTTCTCCATCTCCCTTCCAAATTTTAACAACACACAGAAGAAGAAGAAGAAGATCCCTAAGCCAAACCTAATTTAGATCGATCCGAGTAAAGACGAAATCACAGCTTTCTAATCGAATCGATTCAAGGGACTAATTGGCGCTAAAATTCCACAGCTGAGAATACCAAACCAGATTGAATCCGACAAAAACAAACAAAAAAACTCCTGTCTAGTTTCGTTTTCCTTTTACATATAAATCTAATTTTCGAGAAAATCTCGATCGATCTATACTTTTTGATAAGGAAGATTATTGCAGCTGCTCCACTGGACAATGGAAATTGCTGCCTCCAGAAAAATTGCAAAACAAAAAATAAAATAAAAATAAAGGAAAATTACAAAAGAAAAAAAAAAAACAATGGCAAATCGAAGAAGAGGCAAGTGTAAGAAAGAAGAAGCTTTTTTGTTATATAAACGAACCAGTAAGAGAGAGCTCGCTGCTGCCTGAGAGATTTCTATTTCGGGAAGCTATTTCTTTTGTCTTCTTCGCTTTTATTCCTTTATTTCTCTCATCCTTTACACAACAGCCACTATAGTTTTACTAATTACATATGTGTCCAAAAATTCATATCATTATGTTGTTAACCTCAATAGAAATGGCTACAATAAGTTATATTGCCATTGATGTAACAAATATGTTACTTTAGAAGTTTCAGTGGAATAATGGTTACAAAGATTGAGCCCTATTAGCTATTACAATTGGGTTTGTAATAATACTCACTTCATCATAATCTCAGAGAGACTTTTGTAATCCTACTTAGTTGAGTTTTCTTCGTTGGTTCCTGATCTTAGTTGACTCTTCATGTCCATCTTCCTGAAGCTTTCTCCTTAAACCCCTCAGATCTTCATCATCTACCTTACCTCCCATTTTCTTGTTCAATGCATATGTTTCACCCATCTTCCTCTTACACTCCTTGCTTGCTGAATCATGCAAAACCACTGCCAATGATGACCAAGTTAGATCAAGGCAACGTAAAGACTTTGCTATGAAATCCCAGGCAACCATGTGAGCAACCTTAATTCCTTACATACAGCTAACTTCATGATATTGATCATTGTTTCTTAAATATTTAGCTACAATGTATCCTTTTAGCACGTGTGTATGCAAAAGCAGATGAAATTACTAACTTGGCTTTGGGTAGTCCTTCCCGACTATGCAGTTTGCTTTAGTTTGAACACTCAATGGCGCTGTCCATGGCTCGTAAATATACTGCTTTGGCATATCTATATCAGAAAACTTATTAGCTAATGAATGAATACACAGTAAACAAACTTACCCCAGGATGATGAAAACTCGGTTACCTTTCAGTACCGGGAGAAAATGCCTAATGTACTTCCCATCAGGATCATACTTCTTTCCAAAAGATATAGGAGAGTAGATGCGGTTGTACTGAAACCGTCACAAAACATTAGGACACAAGTGTAAGCATGACTAAAGAACTTGGAAAATTAAACTTTTTTAATGGAGAATGGATGGTAATGTTTTGTTTGATTTAACCAATTGTACAGAAAAGGCTAAAAATCCAAGGAATACTACCAAAGATACACAGAGAAAAGGGAGGAGACAGTGCCTGGTAAAAGAAGGACGAACATGATAACCACATCCAATTCCCATTATTGATTGCCCAGTCTGAATCGATCAAAAGTCTCTCAAACACATCACGCCCTTGTTCCCAATGTATGAACTAATACCAGAAGCTAGGCATGTCATTGATATTAACTAAAGGAGATAGAACCAACAATAGTAGAGGAAGCATTACCAGATCCCCACGAGTTAGAAAACAGGCTACACAATGACGCGCTAGATGGTGCATCCAACCCCATTTCAGAAGCTTTAAATTCCAGAGAAAGAATGATTTTAGGAATGATGCTTAGAAGGAAAGCTAGAGTTGACTTTGACTAAAATCTAACCTGAATCATGATGGCATCAATCCAAGGGTATCCTGTCTTACCGTCCCTCCAAGCAGCCAGCATAGCATGATCCTCGTTCCATGGAATCTAGTTCATGTATGGCACAAAAAAGATTGGTCTAAAAAAGCATGAACATCTAAATGATGAAGGAACATGCTATAAGGTTACAGTTGTTACCTGTTTGCAGATCGGGTTTCCCTTCATTTTGTCAAAGTTAGGGGTTCCAAATGCAGTGGTATAGAAAAATTCTCGCCACAACAACTAGAGACATAGAAAATGGCATCAACTTTCTGCAGTCGGGCAGTATAAAAAACAGCCTTTAAGTCATTGAATGACCTGCCCGAGGAGAGAAACTGGTGGCGATGTATGCTTTTTCACATCCTTATAGAGATTTTGAAGGCACTGATAAAAGTACCTCGAGGACAGGCATCCAAACTTCTCAAAATGTCAGGAACTAGACTAAAATATTAGAAAAATGGAGGGAAATGCTAAAGTGGATAAATTATGTCATTGCCATGTAACTTACTTTCAAATAAGGTGACAAAACCGTAGTTGCAGGCTTCAAGAAAGCAGATGGATCACCTTTTGGTTTCTCAAAGTTTGCCACCCATGCCTACATTACAAATAAAACGCAGAAAGAATTCATCCATACTGAATTTGATAAAGAAGATATAAATGTAGGAAGTCATTTAAACATATCAATTATAGGGTCTTGAAGGGACAATTTCAAGTTCTCCAAGTACTCAGTTGAGCAGATTGCCCCAACAATTTTTTTCAAAGAGAAAAACTTTAAAGTTCGTGATCATACCTTATCACTGACTGACTTGGTCAATCGTTTCAAGGCTTCTGATTCACCACCTCTAAAGGGAGTCCATTCAGCCTGCAGACATGTACAGAAGCCTGAGTTTCTCAGATGGAAATATTACTAAACAACTTAAGGAGACAGATCATCTATTAACTTGTTCGTCGTCTGTATAGCCAAGTTCCTCAAGAATTGGTACTTCAGAAATGCCAAGGCTTCCAACAGCTCCAATAGGAGGAAGTGAAGAATAAGACATCACAAGTTCAGATTTAGCACATGATGGCTCCCCAGCAATCTTCAGAAACGACTGATAACTCAAAGGTGTCTTCCCACCGTTCTAAAGAAAAGCACACAAATCACAAATGTACATACATGATTTTTACAGTTCCATAGACGAAATATCTAACTACCTCGGTTAACAATAACACTTACTTTCTCTATAATGTCAGAGGGATTGAACAGAGTATGGCTCACTGGAGAGAAAACCTCCACTCCAGTTGAAGAAGCATAATCCTACAGAAACAATATCACTTGAGTTAACTGAAATGTCAATGAGACAGACCATTTGATCGCTCTTGAGCAAAATCAAAATTTTAAGGTTTGATGAATCGAATTTTACCTTAACTCTAACATCTAACGCTTGATAATATGGATCTGTGTCATATTCAAAGCAAAGCCTCTTCACCTTCCACTGCCAAAAAAACCCCCATATACATATACATTTCAGATTTCTCTATTGCCTAAAGTAGAGCTAGTTTCACATTTTCTGAATTACCTCTTGCAAGCAACGAACCAGTACTTCACCAGGCTCACCCTTAAGTACCAGCAACCGCGAACCGAGTTTCTTCAGGCTAGAATCGAGATCCTTAAGGCTCTCCAGCAAGAACCGGATCCGGTTAACCCCGGCGCGAGACGAACCGGGAGAGAACGCAGATGGGTCTGACTCCATGTAATGCGGGTCGATAACAAAAACCGGGTACAAAAATTGGGAACCTTTCGAGGCGTACTCAAGAGCCGGGTTGTCGTGAATCCGAAGCCCTTTCCGGAACCAAACAAGTGAACCGGATCCGGTAGCCATTGTTGAGATGGGACGATTGAGACGGTAACTCGAAGGTGAACAGACGGAGAATCTTCGCATGAATTTGAGTTATATATCCTCTCCACAAGTTTCCTTATTCGCGCCTTACCCTTCTGAAAGCGCGAGAAGTTTTTTTCATAAGAGGAAGATGGTGCGGTTAATATGCGCTTCCTCAACTGTGTATTTGGCTAATATGCGCGCTGATCGGCGTACGATAAAGGATGCGTACATAGGTTGTCATCCACGGTTTATTTTATGCCACGTCGTTACTAGGGGGCAATATCAAACGAGGGAGGTGTTCAATATTTCCCCCTACGTTTATACTGATTTCCACCGGTTGATACATTAATTGCTTACTGATATCTAAAGTAGTGAAATTAAATTTCATAAGTTTGAGGTTTTCAATCGTAATATACTTTATTAATGTTAATCATATATTTTGGGGAATGAAATAACAATTTTGGGGTTACCATCTGATCCGATCATAATGATCTGGTCTAGCTTATATAGTAAGCCTAGATTACAACATTTAACGAACACTTAACCAATTACAAATAACCAGAATAAACCGGGTCATCTATCATAATAAATGGCATTCTGAAAAGTGTTGAGGTGATTTACAAATGTGTAGGCTGATGGGGATTCTTGTGAGGACCATTAATGTTTGGTATAACATAAATATTAGATATTATGTGATCTGATTCAAGTTAGAAGGTTGATCAATTCATAAGCTATTTATTATTGGAAATTGTATGTTGAATCTGAACTTTTGATTACTGTTTTAAACTTAATTACTATCTATATATATAAAGTTAACTTTTTCTCTCTTCTCCTCAAGCCACATCATCATACACCTCATTTTATTATTTAATTTTAAAATTAATTATAACATTTTATCATTTAATTTTAATATTTAAACCTATGTAAATAAATTTTTCAAAAATGAATATGAAAGGTCTTTTTTATATTATACATTATAAAACTAAAAAGATAATTGATTAAAAGTTAAAAAACTTACTAATTATCGAGTATACTAACAAATAAATAAATAATAGATTATAGTTTTTAGTGAATGTTTAAAATATATATATAATTATATTTACACAATGTAAACCTAAGTATAATTGGATTTAACGGGAATAGAGCAAAAAGTTGAAATTTTGAGAATATAAATCTATCTAATTTATGTCTCAAAACATTTTCTAACATAAATGAGATAGGTCGGACCGAAACATGAATTCTCATTTTTTATAAACATATAAAAAGGTAAAAATAATAATTCTTTAAAAGTTTCCAATATGAATTTAACTATTTTTTTCCAAAACAACACATATGTTAAACTAATAAACAAAATAAAAATTAACTATATTTCATAAAATTGAAAATTAAAATAAAACATTATTAAATGAAATAAACTAAATATAAAGTAAATTATACTAATATGTTAAATTTAAAAATTGTTCCATATGAAAAACAAAAAAATATATAAAACATAAAATCAGAAAAATATATAATAGTATATAAATGATCATTACGAGATATAAAGTACGACAAATCCAAAAACGGAAAACGTAAAACAAAAAATAATAAATTATGACAATAAATAAAGAGATAATGTAAACAATTAACAATATAACAATCCGCCCGAAACCCACAAATCATGTTCAAATTTCATGCCAACGTATAAAAAAGCCCAAAATATTAACATCTAAATCTATATTTGGTAAAAATCCTAATAGTACAAGTTTCTCAATGATTCTCAATCGCACTTCCATTTACGCCCCACTTCGACTTATATTATACACACTTAATTTCTCAACAACTAATGAAGCTAAAACTCAATAGTTTTTCTATACAAACACAATTTAAGTTTTAAAAAGTAAAGTATGGTATAGTGAAAAAATAAGTAGAAAATAAAATACGAACTAATTACTCATAAACAACATAATAAATTTCTGCGCGTAGCGCGGGCAACCGACTAGTACTTTTATAAAATTATTTTTGACATAACACGTAACACTTGTCTAAAAAGGTCAGCATTAATGTAAGCTAAAACTAATTAATAATCCAACGGTTCAGAGGAAAGCAACAATCCCACACGATCCAGATCGTACAAACTTAAAAAACGACGAGGTACACAATTAAACGGGTTCTTCGAGTATCATCATCGAAAAAAAGTTGTTCATCATCCCATACGTGAAAAAAGAAGAAGAGAGAGACACATTTTTTAAGCTCGACTAATTTTATTGATTATTATAACTAGATCGGAGGATTCGTGATACGATCCAGTTACTCCTTGACCCTAACGTCGGACGCAAGCCGCGAGGCGATCGCAGAATGGTACATAACGTCGTGGAACGTGGAAGCTTCGGCAGTTTTCCTCCGCAGCTGCTTCGCCTTCTCCTCCGTGAGACACCACCGCTGAGACCTTTCGCCGGTTTTAACCAGATCTGATTCCGGATTCGCGGACGATGAGGAGCTCACGACGTAATCAGGCTCCGACGACATGCCGAAGAGAGGAGCCCACCAAGAAACCGATGAAACTGGTTTCTTACGGGATGGATCCGATTTGGTAGATCCAGGTTCGGAAGATGCTCGGATCGAAGAGAGAGCGGAACATGAGATGATTGTAGCCATTGTAGGTTAAAATGTGGTGATCTGAGAGAAAATATGGGAAGAAGAAGAGAAAGATGAAGGATTTGTAAAACAGATTAGTTTTGGATTAGGAAAGAAGAAATGGGATTAAGATATTTTATAATGAATCAGCTGCGTTTTCTTTTTTTATATATAATAGTGTGGAATGATGATGTACCCACAGGTTCGTTCGTTTGACTGGTTTTTTTATCAACGTAAGGGTATATTCGGGAAGAGTGTGCAAACGGTAAATGCGTTGTGCTACACGATAGTTATGGTGGACATGAGAGCATTGGATTACTTATTTCTTTTTGGAAGAGAATGGATAAGATTGAAGGCGTGGAGCAACGTCGCCATTTGTGTAAATGTCTCCATCTGAACTTTTCGCTTTTTATATTTTTCTTTAGGGTGACTTGTCGTTTTGACAATGTCAATAATGACGTGTGTTCGTTCATTGGAAACTAGAAACTAGAGTTCAACTAGTCGTCTTTATTAGATTTTTTTATTTTGTCAACCAATTCGTGATAGATAAGTGAAATGAACGTTACAAGTTACATATGAATCATGCATATGATGTGCGTGGAAGAGGAGTTGTTGATTGCTTTACCATTTACGAATCATGAGCGCATTATGAAAGTTTTTCGGACTCATGATGTTATTGTTGTTATCCAATATTAACAGATATCACTCACAAACGATCTTTATTTTTTTAAAAGAGTTGCTTTCTATTCATATTGCAAGGGGCCGGGAAAGAAATTATTAGGGAGCTCAAAAGATGCCTTAGAAGAAGAAAAGCAAATATATGTTGAGCCAAAAAGCTAAACCATAAGAATGATGCAAACCAACTTCATACGTATTTGAAGAAGTCGCGAAGGGTTCTCTGTGATCATTGAAAGGATTAGATGAGATAGGAGAAGTTGATGGGAAAGAAGCTATTATTTATGCGCAAGTGTTGAAAAAAAATAAAATTAAAACTACATTAGCAGCATAGAAGAAACAAGCTTCTCGGATGCTTGAAGCTGATATATATGCATATGATAGTGCCAATTCAGGAGACCAGGGGATCCATGTAAATTAGGTGGGCTCTTGTTGAGTTTCACTACTCTTTTGTTTCCGCAAAATAGTTGTGGGCTTGTAGGCCTTGTAACCTTTGGTTTGTTGACTTGTTCAATACAAAAATACTCTTTTGGAAAAGAAAAGAAAAAAATCTCCGCTTGATATGGCACATAATTTACAGGATTGATTAACACGTGCGTACTGTGTAGTTTCGCACGTATCGCTTTTAAGTAAAAAAAAGAGAGTGACCAATTCCCAAATTAAGAATCTTTCATTTCTCCGAAGGAAGAAGGCATCACACTGAAGAGATTCGAAATAAATAAATAAAAACATTTGGGGGTTTTCACTAATCCTTCAAGGTGTGACCTGAGTGAGATTCACAACACAAAATCAACCTCAAGCCTCTCGATTCATCCCATCATCACCATGTGGAGAAGAATCGTCTCCTCTCATCTCAAAACCCTAGCCGCCGATGTTGTCGCTGCTTCTTCTCGTCGATCGATAGCCGCCACCGCTAGACCCGTCGGCTTCTATCTCTCCGCCAATCGATCAGCCATTTCTGCTTCTTCTTCTGTTTTCTCTCGACATTTCAGCTCCGAATCAGGTGATACGTCGTTACTATTAGTTTAAACGTTTTCAGATCTCGGTCTGGGACTCTATACAATGGTGGGATTTAGATTCGATTCAATCTTCTTTCAGATTTAGAGGATTAATAATAGTTTTAATAATACTAGTGTCGCTGTTAAGCTCTTAGATTGGATTCTGTCTACTTATTTGATGCAATTTTGGAGTTTCTCTAGTCCATTGGAGAAGTTTAAATCATTGTTTCTTACGGTTTGTATCTTGCAGTAGAGATTTCCGCGAAGAAGAAGGTGGAGGATGTAATGCCTATTGCAACTGGTCATGAGAAGGAAGAGCTTGAAGCTGAAATGGAGGTGATCGGTTATGTTTTCTTTATCTAATGCAATTTAAAGATACAAATGTGTTTTACTGCAACTCTACTTGTGATTATTTTCTGGCATAAAAGTGGAGTATATATGTCTGCTTGATACTTCTCTCCAGTTAAGAAAAATTAATTCTGCCTTTGTCATTGTTTTTATGCGATAGGGAAGGAGGCTGCTTGATATTGACTTCCCTGAAGGTCCTTTTGGCACAAAGGTTAGTTTAAATTTCTGTTGCCAGAGATAGATGTGTCGTAACTACATATTGAAATTGTACACTTAGGCATGATATAGATTTTTTGTTCATCAGTAACCGTATTTTTTACTGCAAAGGATACGTCACTTGACTCAACTATTATGCAGTTTAAATTACCTCAAATAACCAGGATAAACATACTGAAACGTGCACCATTTAATTTGGCCAATAATGTTTCTTCAGCCAGGACTTGCTATCGCTCGCAGCAATTTTGAATCTTGTCTAATTGTCAGACTGAATTATCTTGATTTTACTCTGGTCATGTTTCAAGATTTTTTTTGCGAATTATGTAACTAGTATTAGTTCCCTCAATGAAGAACTAGCTTGAATCATATATAAAGTTTGGTGAATTCAACAAATCTCTAAGCTGTGTTTGTTAATTTACGATGGCTCACTGCCTATGTTGCTGATGTGTGGATGTCATATACAACATGTGCAAGAGTCTGTGGATCCTGAGCATTCAGCTCTTAACATACTTGAGAAATCTTTCCCCGAAGTACTAAAATCGTTAAGTAGTGAAGTGAATTATGCATAGTATGTAACATAATTGATGCGTTTGATGTTACTGATTTTCTCATGTCATTTTTATCTCTTGAGTGAGTAAAATTCAATTTCTGTTGGCTACCAATGGAATCTTAGAACAAATTTGCCATTTTCCTGATACATAAATTTGGATATCAAATTGTATTACATTAGGAAGCTCCTGCTGTTGTGAAGTCCTACTATGACAAGCGAATTGTGGGATGCCCTGGTGGTGAAGGCGGTAAGTTTCACTGTTCTTGACTGAATATGTCAAGACACATCATCCGCTAATGTTTTATCTAATCTATGTTTTTCCTGGAAAACTGCAGAGGATGAGCACGATGTTGTGTGGTTCTGGCTGGAGAAAGGAAAGTCCTTTGAGTGCCCAGTTTGCACGCAGTACTTTGAGGTAAGTTCTACTTGTATCATATGCTCTAAGCAGTGAATAAAATCAACGTAAGCCACATATATAGTCAATAGGCCAAACGAAACTATTAAAAAGATTAGAGCAAGAAGCATTTCATTTTCAGAAGATTGAATTGGTTCAATAATGTAATGTCTTGCAGCTGGAAGTGGTTGGTCCTGGTGGACCTCCGGATGGTCACGGTGATGAAGAACATGAGCACCACCACTAATTCCGGCCTCTCCCTTGCCGCGAGTTTTTCTTCTTTTTCATAGAATTTTTTTTTTTTTTTATGATTGGAATAAAAAAAAAAAAAAAAAAAAGGTATCTGCCGTTTGGTGAAACACAAAGTTGAAAATGTTTTTGATCCTTTTTTTTTTTTTTGAGAACAACAAAAGACGGTATCAGAGTTTCCCAAAGTGCCAAAACTCTTATGACCGTCGTTTTATTTTTGTAACACTTTTGTTGAATCAGAATCATTCTTGCCTTTTATTGCTTATTTTATGATTCACATTTCTAAAGTATTTATGTCTTTTCATATAGGGACGTTTTGATCGTGCCCCTTGATTCCTTGTGAACGGTCATATAATTCAATAGATTATAAGAAATACCAAATTGTCTTACAGCTTTGTTCGTTAATTGGTTAAAACACGATGTTCGTTAATTGGTTAAAACACTATTAACTCATAAAATGTACCTAGACTTTTACTTTCCTTGTTAATCGTTTACACGTAAACCAAAAAGGAAAAACAAAAACGGTGAACAAGAACGGTGGAGGTCAACATCGAGCCGCTTTTACTCCCCCTCTGCGGCGCAGGTGTCTTTCGATTCTTTACTTACGTCTCTTTCTCTCTCTCTCTATTAACGATTCCCAAAGGTTAACAAGTAAAGACGAAAATTATAATTGTTCTACAGAAAACGGAATCAAACATATATATATGTTGTTCATATTTCAAATTTAGGTTATATAGCTAATTATTTCGTATACATTTTTGGTTGTAATATCATCATTTGTTCAAACTTAAATGCTCAAGGATAGACTAAAATAAGTACTAAGGTTTTTTTTCGTTTCTTTTTGCAAAATTCTGCCCCAACAGTGTGAAACAAAAGCGAAACCTAACAAAGCTATAAATAAAAAATAGAAGAAAAAAAAGATTTAAACAAAAGTATAGCGTTGTCGGAAATACCCGAGGAATATATTCCAAACAATTCTTATAAAAAAAAGGAGTCTTAATTATTAACAAAATAAAATAAAAACTCATAAAGATACTGTTTAATCAATATTCTGTCTCTACTTAAGACAAATCACCAAAAGATACTGTTTTAGTTTATATTCTCTGATGTTCGACACAGCTTGCCCCTCATTATAACAAATACACTCGTTTTCAAATATTTTTCGATTTTCAAACACGCATGCATGCATGTATTACACATACATCTGATTTTTGTTCTCTACGTCAGTATACATCAATACACACTCTATATTGATGTTTCTAGCTAGTGTGTGTGTGAGATTGTGTTTTGAAGTATTATAACTTGTATATAAGTAGAAGAATTTAAGGTGAACAAATCATTTATCGTGTTTGGGACTAATGTGAGTGACGACGAATTTACACCGTCGCCACTTACGCGTTTTTAATAACATATAGTTTCCAAGAAAACACCTACGTACATTAATATATTGTTTAGCTGACTAATATACACGTGTTTAATATTCTTTTTTTTTCTTTAATCTATATATTAAATGTCTATGTTCATACATGTTTTTATTTTTATTTTTTTGGTCACGAGTGTTCATATTAATATGTTTAAGAACATCTTTTGTTTATCCATCCACGAGGCCCTCCTAATTCTAAATACATCCAGTGCTGAAAATTCATGCAAGGTAATTAACGATATTATATGCTTAATGTGACAATCTAATTAATACCCCAAACTATATATTAACATATTCAATGTCTTATCCAATATCCATACAGCTACGTGACACTTCATCCTTCACTCCTTTAACTCACTTCCTAGTTCCTCCTACTACGTACCACTTGTTCTTATTTTATAATTAGCGATCAGTTAATTAAATTAAATTATCAAGGTTGTATAGAAAATGGTATGAAATGTACTAACCTATGCATATATAAAACCGTACACAGAAATAAAACCATGTACAACCCTTTTATGTATATAGACAAAGTCACGAAGGCATCTCCGTATCTTGTATTATGCAATGCAAATATAATACCCATTTAAAATTTAAACCCCAAAAAAAAAAAAAAGATACCCTTCTTTGAGAGTATGTTATTCTGTTATTCATCAATTCAACTTATTATATTTTAGACTGAAGTGATCATGTCTATTATATATTATTTTTTTGTCTCTGAATAGTATTCAAATTAATTATGCATAAATAAATCAGTGTTGATAGCATATAACATTAATCAAATGGCACGAATGGTCCTTTTTGTTTGATTACATAAAATTTAGTATTAATTGTTCATATTGATACGAGAAATATATAATAATAAGTTATGGTACAATTCTTCTCTGTGCAAACATGCTATATAAAAATATGAGTCTTTTTTTTTTTGGGGTCGGCAGAAAATAAAAGTTTAATATTGAAGCTTTAGAGTATATATTCTTGAATCGATGGGACAATATATGCAAGTTTATGCATATTAAACAAAAGAAAATGCATAAACTTAAGGCTTAATGGGTTTTATTAGCCCTTCGTTTTACGAACGAACGAACGATCAACGATATATACATTAACAAACTAAGACTCTAGTGCTGAAAGCATCTATTGTCTTGTTTTGTGTCAATTAGTAGAAAAGGTTAAATGTAAAATATTGTATTTTTTTTTGGGTCGAGAATGTAAAATATTGTATATAACCAATTGTTCAATATACTATTATATAAAACCAATTGTGTCTAATTTGGGTTGACTATTTATGACCAATTGAAGAGTTTTGTTTTCTTAACGAAATTGGTGTGGGTCACTAAAAGAGTTGACTAGCCAAAAGCTACAACAAATATAAATTAAATTGCAAAGTTGTTGACCTTTGTTAAAAGTTATGTAATCTGATGTCGTCATTAGTCACTACTAAGAAAAATGTTAAGTAATGTCAACAATCAAAATATTTTAAAAAATTCCCCAAAATGTGTATACATATTATTAATGAATTTTATATTGAAGTTATAAAACAACAGTTTAACAATATATCAGCAAAAACGACAAAACAAGTACGACAAAACTAAGTTTGTCACATAAAATGTTTTAATTAATGACAAAAAAAAAATGTTTTAATTAAGTATTTGGATGCATTTTATTAGAAAGCTCAGATTCAAGTGATCAAAGATCATATTCATAAATTAATCTTATAGTCACACAAATTACCATATCCATTGCCAATTACAGAATTATATAGTTTTAAACAATTAAGTAGCAAAGTAACAGTTGATATCTTTCTTCACTGAAGATTAATAAGTAATCATTTTGGAAGATAAATTAGTAATCATTTCGTAAAATCTATGAAGATCTTTTGAAAAGGAGACAAAGGGCAATTATTATGCGTATCCATGTAATGTAACCATGTTCTCTTGTTGGTCTTAACTTGACTTTGTTTTTTTTTTTTTTTTTTTTTTTTCTGGCTATAGTTTTTTTCAATGTAACAACGTTTAATTGTTGGTTGTTAATAGGCACTTTTATTTCTAAAAAAAAAAAAACTAAAGTTACAAGATTATAGGATTTTGTATCTAAAAATTGAGTAAAAAGGGGATTTGAGTCATGAAAGGTGCACGATGTGCAGCTGAGACCCATTCCGATTTCATCATCAAGTTTTTGGTGACTTCCACCAAAGTTCTTTTCTTTTATCTTTTATAAAATTTCATTATGTGAATATAGTTTTCACACCCAACTGAAATGTATGTTGTGTAACATGTAAATGTTTTTAAAACGCATGTGCATGGGCATGGTTGAATTAATGGTTGAAGACGATCCGAGTAACAAAACGAACTTTACATAACCTTGGGGGTGATCCGAGTCGAACATGTCAAATATTCATGTTATAAATACATTAACATCTTATCAAATGCTTTAAAACATAGTATATAACCATTGTCAAATACAAATACTTTAAATTCTAATACGGTATGAAGAAAGTGACATATTGTAAGGTGAAAACTAGTGGGCTCGCAATCGTCACCCACTTTGGTGGACAAAACGGAACAGTGTCACAAGAGAGAGAGCAATGAAAGAAGCGTTGAAGGAAGTTGAGAAAAGATCAAAAGCTTTTTTTGGGTTTATTGCTGCTTCCCCCACACACACATGAAGTCCAGGTTGGTCACACACTATATGTTTCTTACGCCATCATCATTACTACACCTCAGTGCTCTGAGATTTCACAAATCCAAGAACCCTAAAGAAAAATAAAATATACAAATATAAAACCTTGAAGATAATTCCTTTGTCCATGGTGTAATGCAAATCCCCAAAACAAAAAAAATTATCTTTTTATTTCTCGTAAAAAAAGTTTCAGACTTTTAAGCTTTCTGGTTAATGGGGTATCCATCAATCATCTCACTTTTGTTATATATACATATATTTCATTAAACAAATGATTGAACAAGTAGATTTTTTTCATTTGTTTCTTCTTCTTTTGCAATTTTGGATTATGCCCTCATGTTTCTAGTAATATACTTGTGTCCCAAATATATATATATTGAATTATTATTCTCTTACGCGGAAGTGTTATTTTTTTTTTCTTTTCTTTTTTTCCTCCACTGCCCACACAAGGCATTGATTCTCTCTTTCTCTCTGTCTCTCTCCTCTGTGTTAGTTTCGCAGCTAGCTCTGCTCTGGTGTTGATTTTGATTCCTTGTGTTCCCAAAAAGATTTGTTTCTTTTGTTTTTTTTTTTTTTTTGATAAAGGAAATTAAAAGGAAGAAGAAGTTGATTTCATCTTTCCATGGATGCCTTCTCTAAGTAGTATTAGTTTCTTTTGTGTAGCTAGCTGGTTTACACATTTAACATCCCATAGTGAATGATTCAGATTCACATCTCTTTTCTTTTCTTTTCTTTTATTCTCCTTCCTTCTCACCATCACACACCTCCCATATTTTGCCTATAAATACACATTTCCCTTCCCTTACCTTCTTATATTATATTTTTCCTTCATTGTGTGTGTGTGTTTTGTATTTCAAGGTCTTTAGTCTCTACCAAAATCACAGAAAACAAAGTCTGCAAATTCTGAAGAACAATGAGCTATTCTCATCAAAGCATGGGTTCTGGTTTGTTTCAGTTTCTTGATTTGCATGTTTATATATTAGTGGTTTGGTGTGAGTTATGAAGTGTGTGCTTGTAACTCTGTTTCTGTGACTACTCTGTTTGAATCTTTTTGTGGCATGATCTTTGTAGGTAGTAGAAGTGCAAGAGGATATGAGTTTGGAAGGACTTATGTTGTGAGGCCTAAAGGAAAGCACCAAGCTACTATTGTTTGGTTGCACGGTCTTGGAGACAATGGCTCTAGGTATTATTATATTCTCTCACTTGTCTTGTTTTTGTGATCAAAGTCAAGTAATAAAGAAAAAGTTTTATGCTTTGAAAGCTTAAAGTCAGACTTGTCAAAACAGTGCCCAAATGACTTCAAAGATTTCAAAACAAAAGTTTACATTTCCCTCTGTACTTAGATGAACAATTTAAGTATAAATTGTCATGAAACTATGAAAAGCTCTACGTCTTTGTTTTGAAAGTCGAATTTTGGAGTGTTCTCTGATAACAACCTCTCACATTTGTCTCTGTTCTCTCTGCAGCTCGTCTCAGCTCTTGGAGAGTCTACCTCTTCCAAACGTAAGGATCCATGAAAACAACCACTTGGAAGTAATTTTCTTTAGTACTATACTCTCATTGAAGATTCTGATTTAAAATGTATGCTTGCACAGATAAAATGGATTTGTCCAACTGCTCCTTCGCGTCCTGTTTCGCTTCTTGGTGGATTCCCTTGCACTGCCTGTAAGATCATTTGGCTTCTCCTTTCATTAAAACATTCTTTCTAACAAGTGATTACTAAAACAACAAAACCAAACTCTTTGCTTCTCAGGGTTTGACGTGGGAGAAATCTCTGAGGATCTTCATGATGATATAGAAGGCTTAGATGCTTCAGCTGCACATATTGCTAACCTCTTATCAACTGAACCTACAGATGGTAAGCCAACCAAGAGTTGTATATATCTTCATTCCTTTCTCGCCTCCTCGGTACTATCCATCACAATCTCTAGCTTAACTTGAAGATGTTTTTGGTGGTTTGTGTCAGTCAAAGTTGGGATAGGAGGTTTCAGTATGGGTGCAGCAATAGCTCTCTACTCCACTACGTGCTATGCTCTTGGACGTTATGGAAATGGGCATCCTTATACTATAAACCTACGAGCTACTGTAGGACTTAGTGGCTGGCTTCCTGGTTGGAGGTACTTACATAATATTTCTTCAACCTTTTCATGCCACTAGTTAACACAGAGTCATAATTTTAGAAGCTCAATCATAACAATGCAGGAGCTTAAGGAGCAAAATAGAAAGTTCGAATGAGGTTGCAAGACGTGCTGCATCTATACCAATCATACTTGCACATGGAACTTGTATGTTTACATATCATTATGTGATTTACTATTTCAAGATATAATCACCTAAGAGAATCTGATTTTTTTTCACTTAATGTGTTCGTTGGTTGCAGCGGATGATGTAGTTCCTTACAGATTTGGAGAAAAATCTGCTCATTCACTTGCCACGGCCGGATTCAGACAAGTTATGTTCAAACCATATGAAGGGTAAATGTTCAACTTATAGACCAAAGTTATCGCTTCTGATTTTCTTTACTGTTATGGTCTGAGATTTTGATGTTTTAATGTGATTGTGTGTAGGCTTGGTCACTATACGGTTCCCAAAGAAATGGATGAGGTGGTTCCCTGGCTCGCCTCAAGGCTTGGTCTCGAGGGCTCGCGTTAAACTCTGCAAGCATCTTCTAAGCATCTATAGCGCTACTATACAATGGTGTAGAATATCTATAATATATATAAGGGGTGGGTTTCTTGGGGTATACGGTATTTTTCATGTTTCTGACTGTTTTGTGATTTATTCATGCTTTTTCTGCTGTTCGATTCTTGATTATGAATAATAAATAAAAAGGCTCCTTGTGCTTCTTTATTTGGTTTTCTCTAAATTTACCAAGTTTTGTTCATACCAAATCCAAAGATCTCGAGTTTCTGAGGACATTATTGCCGTATATCAAAAGATATTTCTTATAGAAAGAAGGAACAAAAACACAATAATAACTTCACTCAACAGTCAGCATAACTTCAGCCTTGGATCACTCTTGGTTTCCGGACACGTCTTTAAGCTTCTGCTCCAATTCACCTTCCTGTAATTGTAAAAGTAACTTGTGATCAAACCAAGACAGTGGTTAAGGAAAACGACAGAAAAGGTCTGCTTTTAGTGAAACTAACCTTGTGCATGTTAAGAATGATGTCTGAGCCACCAATGAACTCTCCCTTAATGAAGATCTGTGGAAACGTCGGCCAGTGGCTGCACAAAAAGAAAGATACATGTATCGATTTCAGGACTAGTGAAAAAAAGTTTTTCTAGATCATATAGCAAGACTAAGAAAATGAACGGTAAAGAGGTTGGACAAGTTTATACAGCTCTCTTAAAGAAACTGTTTACACACACTCACCTGAAGGATTTCACAGCGTTTTTCAACTCTGGGTCTTCTAGAATGTTTCTAGAACTGATAGGAACATCTAAAGAAGGAGTTTATAAGACAGCATCAGAACTCAGAAATCATTAGTACTAAAAATAGATTTAAACAAGAGCCCAACACACAAACACAGTAAAGAATAATCACAGAAGGCTATAGTTTCAATCAAAACTTACTGTATTGTTGCAAAACTCTGACGGCTAGTGAGCTAAACCCACACTGAGGAGCTTCAGGGACACCTTTCATGTAAATCATCACAGCGTTATCCTTCACATCCTAGACAACCAAAAGCTAAACAGCATTAGCAAAAAATTGAACCTAAACCAGATTCAGAATCAAATGACTAAACACAAACATTCAACTTCAAATCTAGAAAGCTTGAGTTTACATTCTCAACGATATCTTTGAGTGAGTCCGTAGAATCCGCAGGGACTTTTTGTGTAGGCTTGAAATCATCATGTGTGTCTGAATCACTTGGCACTGTAGATGAGTATCTCATCATCCCATTTTGGTAGGCTGATGCAGATGTCTACAAACAGAAACCACATAAGTTCTCCTTGTAAATTCAAACTGCCATGATCATTACACCAATCTGACTCCACTGAATTCAAAATCAAAACCCCAATTCTATTCTAATCAGGTTCACCTAACAGAAGGATCTGAGCTCGAATGTTGTATAAAAAACCAAACTTTAAGTGATTGAAGATAAGAAAAGAGAAAACTTGATTGGAACACACAATGAGATAATACCAATTGAAGAAAAGGGTTACGAGAGAATCTAACCAATCTGCTAGAACGAACAGCCTGGAGGCTAGCGATTCCTTTCATAAGTCTGCTCGATAAAGAAGCTGCCATCTCTGATTTAATCAACGATGTTTGATCTAATCTGCTCAGAAACAAAATATCAAAGAACAGAGAAAGAGAGATGATGTGTTGATTTCTTCACCAGAAACTAACGACTCACCAAAATTTCAAACTTATCGTGCGACTAACCTGCTGAAATTTTGAAAAATCGTAGCTACGAGGAGGAGGAGGACGACGACGACGACGGAGTAAAATGATATTCTCTCGACCGCTTCTCTTCCTCAAGTGAACCGACCATCACCAGAACGACGACGTGTCATAGCTCATAACCCTAAAGGTGTTAATATACTGAACGATGTCGTTTCTATTCAGTGATTTTTGTTTCGTTTATTTTAATTTCTTCGGTTTAGATATCCAATTCTTAGTTGAACCAGAACCAAAACCGAAAAAAAGGATATCCAATTTCTTTTGTTTAGTTCTCTCATTTTGGTAGAAGACAATTTCTTTTGTTTAGTTCTCTCATTTCGGTAGAAGTTAGTGTGACAGTATCTATAAATAATAAATTAAACTAAATTTATGTTTTCAAATATCTTATTAGTAAATGAATATTTTAAAAAATGCCATCTATATATAATAGCAAACCCACTTTTTGTTTACTGCTGATGTCATATTTTTAATCTAACGGTTCAGATTGTTTTTCATTTGATCTAAAGATTACTGTTTAATATTAGAATTTATGAAAGCCAAAATGTGTCTTTTTAAAAGGATGTGTCTTTTAAATATGTCTTTTTAAAAAGATGTATCTTTTAATAAAAACCTCTGTAATTTAATCAATACAATGTTTCACAGTCACACCATTACGTTTCAAATATAAATATTCTACAACTCTTTGTTTTTATTAAAAAAAACTATTGATTGTTTCGTTTTATTTCATTTTAAAAAAAATATTTTCCTGAAACAATTGTTTCTTCAAATTTTGTTTTTCCAATCCTATTTGACTGCAATTTGCTTAGCCATTATCATCACGTAAAGGTATTAATTGTTATTACCTCTTCGTTATTGTTTATGTTATCTCATCTAAATGTTTATATTTGTTAATGATCCCAAAAGTTGCAAAGTTTTATATCCAACAATTGTGTTTCTTTAGGCATTATTTATGTTCCTATAATATTATGTTGAATTTAGTTGAATCTGTAGAGTTGTCTTATTAGTTTTATGGGACTAATGATTTGTAGGTGTTTGGAACATGTATTATGAAAGAAATAGTTGAGCTTTCTATCCAAAAAGGTTTTTAGATTTTGTAAAAAGAAAATGCTTGAATCTTTGATATTCTTTTAATGGCAGTAGTTAGGAGTTCATTTCATACTTTCGTTGACAACTTTTTTTTCTAAATAAAGCTAAAGAAGGGGCATGTTAAGTGTAAAAAATGGCCGTTCAGAAATGTTGAATTCTTTTGACTTTCTAGGAACATCAGTATTAAAATGCAGTGATACCAACGGAAAAATATCATTCAAGGGATAAAAATGAAATTGTAAGAAAGTTTTCGTATTCTCACAAATCTAATATATTATAATATAGAAAAGGTAAAAAAATAAATTTGTAAATTAAATAAAAAGATATACAATTAATCTTAATCAATTTTCCACTCAAAAATGTTATTTAACAATGTTAATTATTTTTAAGTTTTTCATTTTCCCGTGCGGCAACGCACGGGCTGGCAGCCCTAGTAATCTTAAAAAGAAATTGAAAGGTTGAAAAAACAAATTGGTTTGGTTCAACAAGGATAGATCGGTTAATGAACACTTGCCATGAAAACTATTATACCATGTTGGACCGTGAAGCGTAATAGTAGCTGTTTATTACTTGAAACAAAAATTGCAGATTGAAAGGACACAAATGTTGTAACGGGATCAAATCTTAACTTATTATTAGCTGGAAATTAGTAGTCTCCAGACTCTTAGGTGATCACCGTCACAAACAACAAGAAACACAACGGAATCACAAACACAAAGACGCAACGGAAATTACAAAACGGAACTCAAAGACCAACAAACTTTAAAAAGACATTTTCAAATCGTTCTCTTTGTTTCTTTCTCACTTCCTCTGATAAGTCTGGTGAGTCGGATCAGTGGTCCGAGTAGTTGCAGTAGTGGTCGTAGTACTTCCTGGAAAATGCTCTCTGTCTTCTTCCTCTGTAGCCATTCCAAAAGTATGCTTCACTGCATCAGCTGCACCCATAGCCATTTGCTTCACCTGCTCACCGGTCTGGCTCAAGAACCCACCGGTCTTGTCTCTACCGGCTTCAGCCGTCTCTTTTGTGTACTGAGCGGCGTTTTGGGCCGTCTCCTTTGTGTATTGAGCAGCGTCTTGAGCCTTGTTCTTTATGGCTTCCCCTGTCTCCGACATGTAGCTCCCGGTCTTGTCCTTGGCCTCGCGAGCTTTGTCCCCAGCTTGAGAAGTCTTTTCTTTTGCTGCTTGAGTAGTTTCATGGGCCTTCTGTTGGGCAGTTTGTGCAGTTTGAGATGTCTTTTCTTTTGCTGCCTGGGCCGTCTCATGAGCCTTTTGTTGGGCCGTTTGTGTAGCTTGAGATGTCTTGTCTTTTGCTGATTGAGCAGTCGCTTGAGTCTTGTCCCTGCCTTCCTCAGCCTTGTCCCTCATTGTTCCCATAGCTTGTCCAGTCTTCTCCTGTTATTACCCAAACAAAATATACATCTTAGAACTTGAAATAGAATGTGTTATAAGTTATAACATATTCACACGCATATATGTATTGTTATTACCTGGGCCTTGCCTCTGGTCTCACCAGCTTTGTAGCTCTGTTGGTTGGACGCCATTTTGCCTAAGATTTGAAAACGACACTAGATAGGTTTTTAAAACTTTTTTTTTTGTGAAATTGTTTGCTGTTGTAGTAGAAACTGTGTTTTGTCTCCCCAAGCCATCGAGACATTTGTAGTGTGCCTTGGTCGGCGGGAGAAGAAGACACGTATCAGCACAGAGACACGTGTGTAGCTGCGTGGTGTGTTCAAACTTAAACCCGAATAAATAAAGAAATGAGTTTGGGGGTGTTGTGCTTTACGTTGCGAGAGTTAGTATGCGGTTTCTCGGTCTTGTACGTGTTGGCCTCTGTGGTAGCGACACCTCATGGTTACGAGGAAGATGCTTGCTACGTGGCAACGTCGTAAGTCTCGTCGCCGCATGTGATATGGCTATTTTTTTCATTTTGTTTATTGTACCGATCGTTACATGGAAACCGCTCGTCGGTCGTTAAATACTTGCATGTTCCGTGACGTATCCAACTATCAACTATCACTTAGATTAGTACGATTATAATACTCTTAATCTTTCACTTAAAAGGGTCAAAACTTAAATCTCATATAAGGTTAGCTTGAACTACTTACATAGGCTCACATAATTATATATTTAGATTTAGTGTGACAACTAGCCAAGAAATATTTGCCACGTGAGAAATCAAATGCAAATATCTAGATGATGCAGTTGGAATTATATAAATACTTTTAATTCATGTTGAACTATATATTAACACAAACGTAAAAGGACACGATACAATGACACACATCAGCAGAAACAATGCGTAGTTGAACAGTGTATCGAACACAAATGAAACCACTACCAAGTCTCAACCAAATTTAGTGGCCTCCTTGATCGATGGATCACCTTAAGAAAACCCAAGATATAGCTCTTCTTTATTTGGTGGCATAAACTTCTTTTTTTTCTATTTCTCTTTTACGTTTTCATACCTTGTAATATTTTTAAAAAATAATATACTCTACATTTAACAAGAAAATCTATCAAACAAAAATGAACCAACGTAACTATAATGTTCAAATTTTACCTATTTTCACTGTTCAAATTTCATTCATTATATATTGTCTTTTTATTACAGCCATTTTACTGGCAGCCCAAAGCTTAATAAATTTCTGGTTAATAATTACTTTCATGAATTTTTTTGAAATTAACATCTCAAATAACTATATTTTTATGGGACTACTAACCCAAAATTTGCTATTTCACCGACTGGTTTACTTTCACTTTTGATTAAGTAAATAATATTCATCGAAAACGTGTTAGATATAAATAAAACAAGATCAGAACAAATGGAGAATAGCCGCAACTGCAAAGAGCAATAATATTGGGACATACGCCGACAAGCAACTCCGGAAAAATCCCAATGGCGGGAACCAAACCACCTTCACAACCAGACCACACTGTGAACCATCTTAGTTTGTTATACTATGTTTTAAGGTATAATTACTAACAGTTGTATATACATGCATGTTTTGTAAAATTGTTATCTTCTTCTCTTTTTCTGCGAATTGTAATATACGAAAACTTTTAAAATATTGAGGTCCGTAATAAAGGTTTTGTTACTTGTAATGATGCTTAACAGTTTAAAAAAGGGGAAGGTAATTACTGAATTATGTAAAATAAAAAATTTATATAAAAAAAAAAAAGCAAAACGAAAGAGGTGATGCATGGATGGGAGTCCCAAAGAGAATCGAATCAGCTCAGTTCCTTTTTTTTTTGGTTTGCCCACTTTACTCTTCTCCAAGAGAATGGACTCCAGATATTAGCAGTTCTCTCTCTTTTTTATTTTGTTAATTATGATACCAAAAAAAAAAATCATACCTATAAATATATTTATATCTATTTGGAGCATTGTCAAGTTTTTTCTTTGTTCTACGTCGTTAACTATTTTTTAAAAAGATGGGAATTATAAAAACAGGGAGAGAAATAAAGGAAAAAAATAAAGTGAGAAATAAAGGAAAAGATGGTCAAAACGAAAACATCGAAGAATTATTCCGTCACCATCACCCAAATTTATCTTTATTGAAACTCTCTATTTTGCCTTCATATCCCCCTTTTGATTTTCCCTTTATCTTTTCTTTTCCCCTCTTTTTATGTTTTTTTGACCCATTATTATTATTTATTTTAGTTTTTTCATTTTTTTTTTCTTATATCACTATTTGTATGGTTTTCTCATAGATATCTATCCCTTCCACGCATTTGTAATCATTTTGTTGTTTATACCATTTTAAACTTAACCGTATGCAATTTCTTCTTTACAAATCTTTACGAATGAAAACTATTATGTAAAACTCATAGTATAGCTAGCTTAAACTACAAAAGGTTTTTTAACTCATAGTATATATATATATATAGCTAAAGAATTGTTAAACTACAAAGAAACAGTGCAAGCTTGAACTATATCATTTATTATGGAAAATCCTAACACCCCACGCAAACCTTAGTCATTCTTTCTTTTTTGCAGTTTACAAATTGTGTGTTACGTTGCTGCTAAGCAAAGGAGAACTTGTTATAATTATATATTATCTTTTTAATGAAAATTAAAGAAAAGAAGAACATAAAAGATAGTGAATATTCAAAATTCAAAAGTAGTATCAATTTTTATTCGTGTCTCGGATGTCGATTCCTTTGCCTCCTTAAAGTATAAATGAAAGAGACTTACCATAATATAATTGTGAGATTAAGCTACCTTTTGTTCCATATCAACCAAAAGCTTATACCACGTACAAGATACCGAATCGATTCCCTATTCAAAGATATATATCATCTTTGGTTATATATGTACACCTTTATATCTATTTCATTTACCAATTTTTTCTTTAATATCTAGGGTTTCTAATTAATTCCTATAATAATTTGTTCACAAACGGTCTCTACGTAAAAAAAGCTTATATATGTGTGTATATATATATATCGTTATTAGATATATATATAGCAACCTATCACAACGTAAAGTACTTCGAAGTAGTACCTTTACATTAAAAATAATATCTAAAAACAAATATATAATAACATAACGTCATAGATTATTTTTTGTCATGTCAAATTATAGTTGTAAATTAAATTAAAACTAATCAAAGCTCGGATACTACACAAAAAAAAATAATTTCCTCGACAATTATTTCTCAGCTTTCTTCGCTATAAGACTACCGTTAATCCGTTATGTATCAACAATATGTTAACAATTAATAAAACAAAACAAAATTATGTTAACAATATAACAAGTTTCATAACAGAGGAAATTTCCAATAAAACTCGTCAGTCTTCTATCATGCTAGAACTATAAGTTATATATAGTTTGTTTAACTTAATTCTATTTAGTTAAATAGATAAGCAAGGTAGCTAGGTACTAGCTACTTTAATTAAATACTATGGTTCATAGTTAACCAAATGATGAGCTTCCTTGGTGTTTAAGTGTATGCATCATGAATTAATAAATATAGTTATGAATTGCATTAGAGATATAGAGGGTCCAAAAAGGTACGAGTCAAAAGACTTTTATGTAGAGCTAGAGGTTAACAAGATCTCTTTCTTTTAGTTGTGTGTGGGCTCCTAAGTTGTTTGTTGGCTTCTTATGTCACTCTTAATTTACTTAAAATTACATTATGCTTTGACCCAAGATTCTAATCAAAGTACTTTAAATTTTACAACTGTTATATAAAAAAACGAAGTGATCAGCATGATAAAAAAGAATGAGTAGGTGACAAAAAAACATGTCGAGTAAAAAATCAAGTTTGTGGCATCAACTGTTGAGTTTATCTTTCACTATACATAACTTTGCATAAACGAAAAATTAAGTTGATTTTTTTTTCAATAACATGTTTAAATTCATGTGATATATAACCCATTTCTAGTATAGCTTATTTTCTAAATTTTATTAATTCTTGATATGTCAGCTAAATTATATGTCTGTTAAATAGAACAAACAAGAGTTACATGAACATGCTTCAAATCTAATAAACATATCATAAAACAACAAAGCTACGGCCAAAGTAATTACCATATTATAGTTAAACAAGTATCATAGTACAAGAAACACTCTATAAGTTATATATGGCCAAAGTAATTACACATATATTAAAGAATTTCTAGGCTTGGGTTTCTCAGCCGAAATTTTCACTTAATTTATTTTTAAATATTATGAGGTTTTTTGTTGCTCTTCTTTTGCGAAAGTTTACAATTGAGGTGAAGAAAACGAAAAAGTAAATTATTTTTATTTTATTTTTATTTTTGGTGAACGAGCCACCAGCTTGTGCTCTTCTGTGTTCTATTTAAGCCCATCCTCTTCACATCACTCTTTCAAAGCCTCGTGCCTTATTTTTCTTTCACTAGACTCATCATCACATCTCTAGCTTCCAAGTTCTTCGAGGTCAGTCTTTTAAATTTTATATCAATTCATAGTATTTGAATTTTTTTGGATATTGATTTTCGAATATATGTAGCCACAAGATATTGGCAAGTAATTCGTTATACGTGATGAATATAAGAAGTTGATTGATCTATCATAAATAGAATAAGCTTATGAAAATATATGCATATATCCACTATTATGATTACCTTATGCATAAATAAGTACAATTCTTTTGTCCTAACTTTAAACGAAAGCAAGTGCATAAGAAATTCATTTTCCTTAGTAGCTATGGTTAGTCAGCAATATTTTGTTTGTATAGTAGTTTATGAGGTTAATTAAACTGAATAATTATCTTACTATTTTTTTTGTGGGTTACATCAAATAAGTAACTAATAGAAATATTCAAATTAATATGCATGTTACAGAAAAATAATATAAACTCGCACGCAAACAAGATTTGAAGAATGAGCAGACCCGGAGATTGGAACTGCAGGTCATGCAGCCACCTCAACTTCCAGCGCCGTGATTCTTGCCAGCGATGCGGTGACTCTCGTTCCGGCCCCGGTGGAGTCGGTGGCTTAGACTTCGGCGGTTACGGCGGCAGAGCCATGTCTGCTTTCGGATTCACCACCGGGTCCGACGTTCGTCCAGGTGACTGGTACTGCACCGTCGGAAACTGCGGGACTCACAACTTCGCTAGTCGCTCCACTTGCTTCAAATGCGGCACTTTCAAGGACGAGACCGGCGCTGGAGGTGGAGGCGGTGGCATCGGCGGTCCGGCCATGTTTGACGCTGACGTTATGAGGTCTAGAGTCCCCGGCGGTAACGGAGGCCGTTCCAGCTGGAAATCCGGCGACTGGATTTGCACTAGGTACGTACCAAATATTAGTTGGTTGATGTAACTCGATTCATGAATATAATCTATAGTTTTAATACGTATGTTAAAAAAGATTAATTGGAAATTGGAAACAGGCTTGGTTGCAATGAGCACAACTTTGCAAGCAGAATGGAATGCTTCAGATGCAATGCACCAAGAGACTTCAGCAACAGAACCTCTTTCTAAGTTATACAAAATGCTTTAAATGTAGCCTTTGTCTCCAGTTTCTTGGGTAATTACTTCAACTCTGAACTACTCTTTTTGTTCGGACATAGATATAGATAGTTAGATACTGTCTTTATTTTGTCTGTGATTAATTGAGTTCTTGTATTTACCTATATTGAAATGTTTATTTTGATATATTTTGCTAGGCACACTGTTTCAATCAATGGAAAGGAGAAGCAGGAGCAAAGCAAGCAAAGAGAGAAATTAAAAGATGATGATAATTTTGTTAGAGATGTTGCAATGAGAGAGCCAATATTGTAACTTTAGCTGTCGTCGTGCTTTTGGATGTATTATCCATTTTTCTTTTTATTACTTTTTTTTTCTTCTCCTTAATTCGTAATTTTTCTTCCTTTTTTGTTCTTTGCAGTTTCTTTCTTTTTAAGAGTTTTTATTATTCTAATCATTGTACGCTGCATGTCTTTCTTAAAAGAAGATTCTCTTCTCAAATTCATCGCTTTATACATGAGTTGCTGCTACCTTTTTTGTTTTTTGTTTTTTTTCTTGTTCAGCCTTTTCAACGTATATTCTAATACTAATAACAATTCACTTTTACTAGTCATAATTCTATCAACCCTAGTGACTAGTGACTGCAATAATAAGCCAAAATATTTGGCATCCCAAATGTGTAAGAGCATAACTATATATTTTAACAGGAAAATTTGCAAAATATGTCTTAAAATTAAACTGAATTTCTGAGTTTTTTTCGTAGAAAAATTGTTTTGATGATTTAAATAAAATGTAATCTGTAAAGATTTTCCCACCTAAAATGCAAAAACAATATTATGTATAAAGAAAGTCCACTAGTTAGGCAATTTAATAATGGGTCAGTAATGGGCCTTAATAAAAATGGGCCATTAAAACCCAAATCAAAGTAAAAGTTTGATGTTTCGTGCTTCGCTGTACAAAGACCACTCTGGTTGTATCGAACGAGCGAACCCAACCAACAACGAGCGTTAACCTCAATTTTTTGTTTTTTGTTTTATTTTGATTTGATCATCTCCACACTCGTCAAATCGTGTGTCCTCGTTGGTATCGTTATCGTATCAGCTCACACAATCTCATTCCTTTTCCTTTCATTCTTCTGTTTCTCGAATCCTTTGTCTCCCTCCATGGCTTCCTGTAAGTTTCTCTACCTGTGTATCTTCATTGTTCCAGTTTCCTGGGATCGTACACTCAACTGGGTTTTTCTTTGCATATTCAAATTTGAATCATTTCGTAGTTTTGTTTGCTCTCATAAAACCATTTTTCATCGAAAAGTTAGAACTTTGAGGATTCTGCTATTGAGTGATAAGAAATCTCAGGAAGGAACTTAATTTTGAACAATTAGATTGATTTTGGTATGAATTAGAGATCTAAAGTTGAAGAATTTCTATTTATTCTTCGTTTCAATTTTGATGTGATGCAAGTTCGTTCCTTTGAGATCGAACTGCGAAGCTAATCTAATTTGAATACACCATTTATCACCATTGCCATGAGTTTGGCATTGATAAAGCTTTTTTTTTCAAAAATCTTGTTGTTTAGTACGACAACATTACTATAATCTCTCACTGTTGAGTATACGTGGAGCTGGTTTAACATGAGTTTATTGTTAGATTTTGTATTTTGAATTACTTGAAACCTTCTGGAGCTATCTTGGAGTGAGTATATAAGATTTTCTTATGCACAACTTAAAAAGTGATTGATCATATTGAGTATTTATTGCTGATTTTTGTTTTTTTATCTCTTTGGTTCCGTCTTGTTTTTGATGATTTCTCCAATTGAACGTATAATTCAGGTAGCCTAGGAGTTCCGAAAATTAAAATCTCAGCAGTAGACCTTAGTAGAGTAAGATCTGGAAGCTTACTGATACCATTCAATCAAAGATCATTGCTTGGACAAAAGCCGGTGAAGTACTTGAGTCTGAGGACAACTTTTGGAACTGTGAAAGCTGTCCAAGTGTCTACTGTCCCAGCTCCTGAAACATCAGGTACGCTAGTTATATCTTATATGTTCAGGTCTTTCTTCTATGGTAGAATGCTCATTTTTGTGACTTTAATATCTATATAATTTGCACATGGAGTGTGTTCAGAGGTAGTGGGCTGATGTATGCATGGAAAGTGTCTTTTATTTTTCCTTTGATTATTTCTGATTTAACCTTGTTATGCACAGCTACTATAGAAGTAGAAGATTCTGACGAGACCAAGTCATCTAAATTGAACGCTCAGCTTGTTCCCAAGCCCTCTGAGGTAGGTTTTTCTTCGCCGTTATATGTTAGGATGTCATTTGAAGAAATCTGGCTGAGGATTTCTAAATTTCTTCCCTAATTGTCAAATGGAAGAGGGGAGATATGTTACCTTGAATAATTAGTGGAAACTTCACTTGTTGCATTGCACAATACAACCATTTGAGTCTGTTTTCAAATTCGATGCATTGAGTTTAATTTCTTTTACTATCTTCTAGGTGGAAGCTCTGGTCACTGAAATATGTGATACCTCGTCAATTGCAGAGTTTGAATTGAAAGTAAGACCCCACTCAATTGAGTGGTACACTAGTTATGTTCTTACTTTTTTGCAAAGTTATCTCGGCTAAGTTTCAAATAGGATTCTTATCTAATGTTTTCTGCGTCGTTATTTGCACATTCTAATAGCTGGGGGGTTTCCGCCTATATGTAGCAAGGGACCTAGCTGACAAAAGTAGTCCACAACCTCACGCAACTCCTGCTGTGGCTGCTACAAGTGAAACTACTAATAGTACTGATTCGAATGGGTCAGCTCCTTCTACTTCATTGGCTATCACAAGACCAGCATCCTCGGCTGCTGATAAGGGTTTGATGATTCTCCAATCTCCAAAAGTAAGAGACCGCACAACTTAAACGCATAATATGAAAGCTTTCATTTACTTTTTTGTGGGGAAATGTTCTCTTTCTAATTCTATCTGAGTAAGTTTAGAATGCTTGTTGAAAATTTAAAAAAATAAAAGAGAGAGAGAGGTGAGTTTTAATCAGAAAGTTATCCCCAATCTAAATGGTATGGTAATGTGCAGGTAGGGTTCTTCAGGAGATCCAAAACCATAAAGGGTAAACGTATGCCTTCATCATGTAAAGAGGTACCAGTCTTCTTGAACAAAAGAGAAGTGTTTGATATTATGCGGGAAATCACTGATTACCCTCTTATTTGCTTTTGTTTCATCTGACAGAAAGACCAAGTGAAAGAAGGCCAAATTCTCTGCTACATCGAACAACTCGGTGGCCAATTCCCAATCGAGGTTAGATAATATTCCATTTTAATTTCTAATTTCGTAATTACTATCATTTGCTTCAACCAAGTCAGTTAAAACTGCTTCTCTGTTTCTTAATTAATCTTCTAGTCTGATGTCACCGGCGAAGTTGTCAAAATACTCCGAGAAGATGGAGGCAAGTCTTTCTTCTTCTTTAACTTTTCCTCATTTTTCTTAAACCTTATCCATGTAATGAACTTTTTGTTTTGTCTTTTCTCATATGGAACAGAGCCTGTAGGATACAATGATGCTCTCATCTCCATCCTTCCCTCCTTCCCAGGGATCAAGAAGCTTCAGTAAAATCAAATTCGAGCTGGTTTTGAGTTATGATGACACTGTGCCTTGTGTATGCTTTTAGACAAATAAATTCCATTCATATTTGTGTTCTGTTTGTCTTTTGCTTGTATGAAAGTTTTTCTTTAAGACTGTTTTATTCTGTGTTTTCTTATATAAAAACACATTATGGTACTTTTTTTTTTTTAATCATACATAGATGATTACATCCATACACTGATACAATCCCAAGACTTTCACGTTCTCCCGGGTTAAAACGATAGGTGATGATTCTAATAGTTAAAGATTTGGGCATTGCTCTTATTGACAGTCGATTAAAAACGTTGGAGACGAAGCTGCTTCCTGAATTTCTGTATAAATGCCTCTGCCCTTTCGTTGATATCACGTTCCTTTACCACTGGCTTCCTCGCCGGAACTTTCTCCACCGACAGCGCTCTCTTTGCCTGCTCGCCGGGCTTCCTCGGCTGGTAGGTAGATGATCTGTAAGAAAATATGAGATGGGAGAAACGTTGATCCATGGTGTTTTCTTTCAACTCTAATGCTTCTTGCTTGCTTTGTGCTGTGTTGGTACTCAAAGTGATGATTAGTGTGAACATATTTATAGAGTATGCATATACTATATTTTAAAGATTGGCCCAAGATACATTGAACTATTTGATAGAATTGGCTTTTTGGATTAAGATAAACATTAGTTTATAGTGCTAAATCATTAGATACGCATATATGTTTTTGTAGATTTACATTTACATATGTTCTCTTTTGAAAACTACTACTTTTGTGAAGCTTGATTTTTTTCTTCTTCTTTCTTTAAAATCAATCTTTTCAAAGAATTTCAAGCTCTTTTAAATGATTAATTTACTTCTTTTGACTATTAATCATATATAATAAACAAACATTCGGATAATATATATGCTTATTATAGTGACTACTGACTACACATCAAAACATATTTTTTTTTCTTCACGAATTAATGCATACTATATTATATTATATAGTGATTAGTGAATATGATGATTTGAAGTTTCCAGAAAAATACAGATAAAAGCCTGTGCCGTGACGTGATGAAGACAACAAGAATGACCTAAATTCCTGCCTAACTCTTGCTTTTGCTAAATTATTAAGCATATATCCTTCATCAGGAGATTTTGTTAAGATCAATAATAATGAAAGTAAGATTATAAACTCATAAACATATAATAATTTAGAGAGAAATAATCTATATATTCACGAGAGAATCAATCTTTTTCTACCAAGAAAATGACAAATTAAATACAAAAACGAATAATTTAACCATCAAAACATTGCAAAGCCTTCAACCAAATTATCGCCCGTGACACAATATAATACACTTAACTCTCAAATAAAATACACACATACAAATTACAATGATTTATCTCCCTAATCAAAACCTACGCAGCTATCTTTAAGCCCTCCATGCACACAACACGTACGATTCCTACAAAGAAAAAACAAAATGACAAACAAGTTTGTCAGCTGAGAAAATATATACGTACAAATTTATCTGATGAGCGATTAATGAACTAGTTAATCTTAATATAAAAAGCTTACTTATTTTTAAACATGCAAAAAGTATATAATACCTCAATCGAGTGTAGATATTAGTTCCTGTCCAGTAACTTGAGAACTGTTCCACAATTAAATAAAACCTTTGTTAATGAGATACACACGAAAATGAAGCCTAAATTAAAGAGTTAAGAGTAATAAACTAATAAACAATATATATACTAAAAAGTTTATAGAATTTAGACCTGAGAAATTGGGAGGAGAGTTACTCAAGATGTACAAAGCGTCACGCCATTCCTGAGGTGTTTTCTTAGAGGCCATGGCTCGGCCAATTGTGACTAGAGCTAGTGGGAGGCCGTCGCACTTGGCTGCAACCTCCTGAGCAACTTTGGTTATGTCAGGGTGGCTCTTCACTGTCTCTTCTCCGGCATTCTTTTTAAACAAGTCCCAAGCTCTCTCCCATGGCAGCTTCTCCATTTTTATCTTAGTCTGTGCTCCCATTTCCCGACAAACCTCGTCCGAACAGGTGGTGAACACGATCTTCGATCTGTTCTGTCCGTCAGGCGGTGGAACACCAGCTTTGACTGTTTGACAAATATAAAACCGTAAATATTAGAACCATATTAAGACTAGGGCAATTCATGAAAACGTGGTTTACAAGTAATATAGTTTCTTAAATGGATCATAAGTAAATTGTATACCTAGATCGACTTTCTCCCAAACGTCATCGAGGAACAAAGCAAATCGTCTCTTGCTAAGTATATCGAAGATCTTACCAGCTTTCTCTTCCTCTGTCTTGCTCGTCCAGGACCTATCAAGAAACCCTATCTTTTCACGGATCGTGTCCTGGATCTTCTCAAGATTCAGATTCTTGGACACAAACACCCAAATCACAAAGTCAAACCCATTCGACTTGTGCTGAAGCAATCTGTTGTTGACCTGAGTCAGCACCGTGGTCTTCCCAACGCCTTCCACGCCGTACAACCCAATAATGCCGGTGTTATCCACCGTCATACACCTCCATACTAGCCCCGAAACAGCCTCCAGTCCAACCGTCTGATCATCTTTATCAACGGTCGAACTCATCATCGATCCACCAATGCCACTATTCTCAACCACCACATCGAATGTTCCTCTGCTCTTTATCTCCTGAACCTCTTTCAGCTTCTTGCAAAGCTTCTTGTCCATCTTGTGACAACTCATCATGCTCGATCCATTTGAAGACGAAGAAGACATCATCGTTATCAACATCTCTTCTGCTTCTTTGATCGCTACATCGGCTTGTCTAAGCCAGACTTGGACTTTCTCGAGCCGCTTCAGCTTCTGCTGGTCTTCATACATTTTGACCCTTTTCATCACATTGTTTCGTAGATCCTTGAGCTCCTCCGCAGCGATTTTCAGCTTCCTTACGTTATCGTTCTCTTTTCCGACGTAGATGCATCGTGTCACCATACTCTTGAAATCTTTCCCCATCGTTCGGTCTCTTTTTTTTTTCTTTAGTTCCACGAAATAATCACTCAAAGAACATATAAGTTATAACCAAATGTATATAGATGATCGTGTTAGCCATGGCCTGAACTGACCCGCACGTTGTGTTTTGTTTCTTTATTCAAGTGTTATAGTCGTTGGAGGACCTAAAGGTTTATATATATATACTAGTCGGTTGTCCGCGCTACGCGCGCGAGTTTATTATGTTGTTTATGAATAATTGGTTCGTATTTTATTTCATACTTATTTTTTTTACTATACCATACTTTACTTTTTTTAAACTTAAATCGTGTTTGTATAGAAAAACTATTGAGTTTTAGCTTCATTAGTCGTTGATAAATTAAGTGTGTATAGTATAAGTCGAACTGTGGGCGTAAATGAAAGTGCGGTTGAGAATCATTGAGAAACGTGTGCTATTAGGGTTTTTACCAAATATAGATCTAGATGTTAATATTTTGGGCCATTTTATATGTTGGCATGCAATTTGAACATAATTTGTGGATTTCGGGCGGATTATTGTATTTTTAATTGTTTACATTATTTCTTTATATATTGTCATAATTTATTATTTTTGTTTTACGTTTTCCTTTTTTGGATTTGTCGTACTTTATATCTCGTAATGATCATTTATATATTATTATATATATTTTTGTGAATTTATGTTTTATATATATATATTTTTTTTTTCATATGGAACAATTTTTAAATTTAACATATTAGTATAATTTAATTTATATTTAGTTTATTTCATTTAATAATGTTTTTTTTTTAATTTTCAATTTTATGAAATATAGTTAATTTTTTATTTTGTTTATTAGTTTAACTTGTGTTGTATTGGAAACAAATAGTTAAATTCATATTGGAAACTTTTAAAGAAATATTATTTTTATTTTTACCTTTTTATATGTTTATAAAAAATGAGAATTCATGTTTCGGTCCGACCTATCTCATTTATGTTAGAAATTTTTTTGAGACATAAATTAGATAGATTTATATTCTCAAAATTTTTTACTTTTTGTTCTATTCCCGTTAAATCCCATTATATTTAGGTTTACATTGTGTAAATATAATCATATATATATTTTAAACATTCACTAAAAACTATAATCTATTATTTATATATTTGTTAGTATAATCGATAATTAGTAAGTTTTTTAACTTTTAATCAATTATCTTTTTAGTTTTATAATGTATAATATAAAAAAAGACCTTTCATATTCATTTTTGAAAAACTTATTTACATAAGTTTAAATATTAAAATTAAATGATAAAATGATATAATTAATTTTTAAAATTAAATAATAAAATGAGGTGTATGATGATGTGCTTAAGGAGAAAAGAGAAAAAGTTAACTTTATATATTTATATATATAGATCCTACATCGTGTGATTAAGTGTTAAATTGAATTGACCAGCTACTTTGACAATAATATGTATTAAATAAATAAACATTAGTCTACTGATTTTTCTTTGTTAAACAAACAAAAAAAAATCGTTGATTGTCGCGTTTTATGGTCGTCATGTCATAGACTACAGTCTTGCATTAAAAAATTAATGGGGAAAGGTATTAAAATCCAAACAAAAGTAACAAATTTATTTTTAATTTTTCATAAATTTAAGGAAAATTGCATTTGCAAGCATACTTTGGCTTCACAAAGAACTCAAGGTTTCATGCTATAATCTTCATTCTTCAGGCATAAGTTACGCTTATTTGTTTTAAACTCCTTATATTTCAATCTTTTCTTAAAATTGTTCCGCTACATTAGAAATAAATCAATTAGTACACATCAGAGTGGCCTTCAGAGATTTCCACCTGAGTGGAGCTCATAGACAACGCTGTTAAAGAATTCGTCGTGAAAACGCTGCTGATAATAAACTGTCCAAAAATTATAACTTGTGCCATATATGATTCTACATATAAAGGTCACCAAAAGATGATGGCTACAAAGATTGGTGAAACTAAGCGTTTGCAGAAGTTACTTCTTTACCAACGATCAGCTTCTTTTTTTTTTCCGTATTCTCAGTCTTTGGATGTTATAACGAGCAAACCCAGTGCACCAATGAGTATGTACTGAAAGAAGAGAAGATTGAAAAAGATGTTAATAGTGAGTACTGAGTAGTGAGTACAGATATCTCACATACAAAAACCGTGAAAAAACGCAGGCTGTGTTAGTAGATCATACCTTGATGATAGGCTGTTCAGTCATGATAATAGTCACCCATCCAACATAAGGCAAGAACCTAGATAACAAAACAAAAGGGAGCCATTTACCACTATTGAACTTTTCGGACCAGTTTCATTGAGATCACAGGGGCACAGAAGCTTGTTGAATTAGAGTGCTTACCCAACAGCTCTTCCCATGATATGGTGCCTATTAAGCCAAAGTTGTCCTTCAGCATAGAGACCGATGTCATCAATGTCATTATTGTCACCTGGAAAAATGCAAAGGAGTGTCATTTAAATCCACGAATTGGCTACTATAAGAAGTTATTCATTCAGACCAACAAAACTAGCACCTTTTGTTAGAACATCAACTTCTTTAGTGTCTCCTCTCTCATGAACCTAATAATGTGTTAAACCAACAAACAAAAAGAGTAAGAAATCAAGTGTAACTAAACTCAACATTCAAGTTAAATAACGTCCAGAGATGATAATGAGAAACATTTACTTTGATTGCTCGATGAACAATGGGAATTTCACGACCCTGAAAGAAGAAGCATCATCCAAGGCACAAGTAAGAGAAAAAGAAACTGGAAGGAAGAAGATAGTAAACTGATGGAAACAGAACAAGAGAGACACTAACATCAATACTAAAAACAACAATCTCGCCTGCTCGAATAGGCTCTTTGGTCATCCGCAAGAACAATATATCCCCCTGTCACATTGGCCTCTCAAATCAGTAACACAAGAATCACACACATAATCTTAACTGCAACAACTAAACTAGTTTTCCAAAATAAAAAAAACCAAAAACATACTCTCTGAAAGGCAGGTTCCATGCTTTCTGAGAGAACAACAACCACAGGGGATTCACTGCCAGTGACACATATCAACGCCTTCCAAATTATCAACGCAGATGTAACGATCAAACCTAAACCAAAAACCATAATTTCACATCAAAGATGTAACATTTGGTGAATTCTATATAGATACCAATTTCTCGTAGGTAAACACAGATGAGGGTTAAAATCAAAAACGAACCGAGAGTGATAGCCTGATTGAGAAGTTGACGGATCTTAATAGATTTGATGGAATCAACAGTTTCGCCGATGAAACCCATGATTCTTCTTCCTTCAATTTCCCAGGCCAAAATTATTTGATTCAGATCCCTTTTTGACCCTTCTCTTCCTCCGAACGCGTTTCAGTGGACAAGACAAACAGATTTCTTCAAGAGCGTTTCTGATAGCTCGGTTTAAGTATTGAAATTTCGGTTTTTTTTGTTGTTAGTTTTAATTACTAGTCAACCCGGTTTGACATTTTGATGAGTATGTTTGAATTTTAATCCCTCGACTCTATACTTTTATTCCGGAATCACCACTATTCAAAATAATCTTTTATCTTATAAATACACAACTCCTTCACCAATTAAAATCTGCCACATAATTAATATTTCATTATAAAAAAAAAATTTCTTTTATTTTATAAAACACAAGTCACTTGACCAATTAAAAGTTGCCACATCATTAATGTTTATCAAATATATTAGGAAAGAAACTGAAAGCTAAAATTACAACACCACATTAGATAGAGATAAATTCACAATTTTTAGAAAATTGAAATTATGCTAATACATTTAGTTATTTTTTTCTCAATATGTTACCTTCTTATTAACTTCTCACATCTACAATAAATTGTTTATCATGTTGGGAATTTTATTATGAGGCAATTATTAAGAAAAATTAAGAGCCAATGGCATTAGGATTTGACATGCCTGGCTTACGACTGGTATATGTAGTTCCAGATTAACTATCAAGCCATGGCATCTCCACTCGTATTAATATACTTTTAAAGGCTTCAATTAGTTACCTAAAAATGTATGTAACCAAGGACACAAATGAAATTAATATTGCATTGGATACTACAAGTCGTTTCCCTCTGCTTTCATAATCCCATATTGGATCTTGCATCGGTTGTGTTCTTGGTTGTCCTGATTGTGCCAACATGCAAGTTTGTTCCGGCAATTGCGGCGATGACAACATATCTGTGGTAAGTGATAAGCATTCTAGACCTGGGACAGCAAGTGTGGACACACCTCTCACGTTTAAACACTGTCCTTGTGCGACTTGTCCTGATCCTGATGATGCGGTTTCTATTTTCACGTCTCGCAAGAAAATTTCCGTGCACGGTACAGTCTCGCTGCACCTGAAATCAACTCCGTATTCTGACTTCGATGTCCCAATGAAATTACTATACACCACTTTGCTCACTTCCACTGCCGAAGACTAAAAACCCCAAAGCAAAAACTTATTAAGAACAATCTTATATATGATCAAAGTAAATTTGCGGTACGTACCTTATGATCTTTGGCTTTATCAGAATCTCCTCCGTTGTAGAGCTGATCGATTATAATTGGATTCTCGACATTGTCTAGAGTTATTCCATGGAAAGTAATCATTCTCGCGTAACCCGATCCACCCTATTTATATTAGCAGAATTTATCATAAAGAACAAGAAAAAGAAACACAATGTAAAATGACTCGATGAAAGTTTATAAGAAAATTCAAAAACGTACCTGCCAGGTTTTGATCCGAGCCCCATTCATAGTTCCTCTGAAGTTACAGTTTTGGACACAAACATTCTCCACGGTAGCTGTCTCCCCATCTTTACCCAAGCTTCCTATGCTATATATATATATTATACAGCATTGATGGTTTTAAGTATATTCTTACTATAAGTAACATTAATTTTGGTTGGCTTTTAAATTTGTTAACCTTATTCCATGCCCTGGTCCGCAGTCTATACCGGAAATATGGATGTTAGACGTCCCCGAATTTATCGCTATGCAATCATCACCTAGTAATGATTATAACGTCATGTGCATGATACATCAATGATGATAAACCAGTAGTAAATTCCAAAGGACATTATATGGATGTGACATTCGGTGGACCGTCTATTTTGACATGTACAGGATTGCATTCATACAGGAACCCGTTCTAAAACTTACTTTTGTTTTAATAATGTTTGCCCAGAGTCTACAAAAGTAGTTAAAATTGAGTTTCATACCGGTTGCGATGACGCAGTCTTGGATGACAACGTTGGAGGAAGCGCCTATGTCGATTCCATCAGTGTTAGGACTTGATTCCGGCGCATTTATCCGGAGACTTGAGATGGTCACGTAGTTGCAATCGTTGATGTGAATGTGAGCCATTGGACTATCTAAGTGTGTTAACCCACTCAATCTAAGGTTGTTGCAGCTCTTGAACTTCAAGGCCTAACCTCAGAATATGTTGTTTTTAATTTTGATAAAACTGCAAACAAAGCGAATCAATGTTTTGGAAAAAAGAACACCTAACGTGACACTCACGGTAGGTCTGGAGCCTTTGTGTTCCCACCAGCTCGAACCCTGGCCGTGAATTTCGCCGTCACCTTCAACCACAAGTCCTTCAATGTCTGCAAACATAATCCATTGATCTTTGTCTCCTTTCCAATTTCCTTTACTCGATGCTACAAGATTGCCTAAAATCTTCAATTAAAGATACTAATGACTTACCTCAGCATGTTCTTCGTTATTATCAAAAACACAAAACAGGGGAAAAACAGAGTACCTGAACAAAAATAGGGGCTGATTTGCAAGAACCTTGAAACCTCAGGGGTTGTAACATAAAAGTCATCCCTGCCGGCACGACAAGTTGCCCATCTCCTGTTCCGCTACAGATAGCTTCCCAAGCTTTCAAGAACGCCTACAAGGTTTATAATTGTAGGACAATTTTTTGGATGTATAATGAACAAATTACAGCTACAAATTAAAGCTAGTACACTTTACCTGTGAATCGTCTGTAACTCCATCTCCAACCGCTCCGAACTGAGTAACATCCAATGCATTCGAAGATGTGAAGATTTGGAGAATGAACAGTGAGAAATTCAAGAACCAAGTGTTCTTCTTCTTCATATATATCTGGAGAAAGAAGAGTTATAGATCATGAAAATAAAATGAATATATTTACAATTCAAGAAACGTAGATTGTTCAAGTGAAGGCTTTACTATATATATACTACTTATATATTATAGATGCCATAGAGAAAAGAAGATGCTAAAGGCCTTTACCATGTTCAGCGGATATTTGTGGGACAGTAGAAGACAATGTATGCGAGGAAAACCAAAAATGCATATACATAAATACCAGATACCTATATGTATACATTTCAGTTTTCTTAACAAAAGAGATGGATGATACGGTAACAATTAAATTTCGTATAATGTAGTATTAATTACTAGTGTCCATGCGGGGTCGGAGTGGGCACTGTAATTATTAAAAAATTTTTTTTAAAGATTGTCATAAAAGTACGTACCATTGTTTCACTTTTATTATCTACAGTAAAACCTCTATAAATTAATACTCGATAAATTAATACTCTCTATAAATTAATAAATTCTTTCAGTCCCGAGTTGGACCGGTGTAAAAAATGACACAATTCGATAAAATAATAAGATAATAATTATTTTTAAAATCCCTTGTAAACATATGGTCCCAACAATATCATAAATTAATAATTATATAAATTATAAAATATATATATATATATATATATATATATATATATAGTACTAAAG